AACTTCAAAAATATCTCGGTGATTAACCGAGCACAATTGATCGATGACGCTCTTAACTTGGCTAGAGCTGGCAAACTCGATTATGATATTGCTTTCAATATCACATCTTATTTGGCTCATGAAACAGAATATTTGCCCTGGAAAGCAGCTTTCCGGGCTATAAGTTATCTCAACAATATGTTAATCAAATCACGAGGTTACGATAAATTTAGGGTAAATTATAGTCAATCAAGAGTAATAGAAATCTGTGAGATACAAATTTCAATGATAATTTAATTTGATGATTCGTAATATTAATATAAAGTATACAGATATATATAATATTTTATTAACTCTAATCTTTAATACTATCATTAATACCTTTCAGTTACATATGTTAAAGATACTTGATAATGCATACAAGCAAGTAGGTTTTGTTGATAAACTGGATGATCCTCAGATGACAGTCTTCAATCGAATTAATATTTTAAATTGGGCATGTTATCTGGACCATGAGCATTGCGTTATGAAAGCTGTGCAATACTTCAAATATTGGCGTAACACTCCTAATCCAGATATTAATAATCCGTAAATAGAAATATCACATATCATAATTTAAAATAAAATTATTTGTTGATACCCTAACCATAACCAAACCTACCCTAACGTAACCAACATAACATAACCTAACCTAACCTAACCTAACTAACCCGACCTAACCTAACCCGACCTACATAACCCAACCCGACAGAACTCGACTTAACCTAACCGACCTAACCCAACCTAACCTAATTCGACTAATCCGACCTAACAAAACCTAACCTAATCTATCCTAACCTAATCCGACCTAACATAAAATAACCTAACCTAACCTAACCTAACCTAACCTAACCTAACTATAACCTAACCTAACCTAACATAACCTAACCCGACCGAACCTAACTCTAACTCTAACCCGACCTAACCTTACCCGACCTAACCCGACCTAACCTAACCCGACCTAACACGACCTAACCAGACCTAACCTAACCCGACCTAACCCGACCTGACCTAACCTAACCTAACCTAACCTAACCTAACTCGACCTAACCCGACCTAACCTAATCCGACCAAACCAGACCTTACCCGACCTAACCTAACCCGACCTAACCCGACCTAACCTAAGCAGACCTAACCCGACCTAACTCGACCTAACCTAACCTGACCTATCCCGATCTAACCCGACCTAACCCGACCTAACCTAACCCGACCTAACCCGACCTAACCCGACCTAACCTAACCCTAACCTAACCCGATCTAACCTAACAAGACCTAAACGAAACTAACCTAACCCGACCTAACCCGACCTAACCCGACTTAACCAGACCTCACCCGAACTAACCAGAACTAACTATAACTCTAATGTAACCTAACCCGACCTAACCTAACCTAACTTAACCCGACCTAACCTAGCCCGACATAACCTGACCTAACCTAACCCGACCTAACCCGACCTAACCTAACCCGACCTAACCCGACTAACCTAACCCGACCAAACCCGACCTAACCTAACAAGACCTAACCCGACCTAACCCGACCTAACCTAACCTAGCCTAACCCGACCTAACCTAACACGACCTAACCCGACCTAACCTTACCCGACCTAACCCGACCTAACCCGACCTAACCTAACCCGACCTAACCCGACCGAACCTAACCTGACCTAACCTGATCTAACCCGACCTAACCTAACCCGACCTAACCTAACCAGACCTAACCCGACCTAACCTAACCGGGCCTAACCCGACCTAACCTTACCCGACCTAACCCGACCATACCCGAACCCGGCCTAACCTAACCCGACCTAACTCGACCTAACCTAACCTAACTCGACCTAACCCGACCTAACCTAACCCGACCTAACCCGACCTAACCTAACCCGACCTAACCCGACCTAACCCGAACTAACCTAACCCGATCTAACCCGACCTAACCTAACCCGACCTAACCCGACCTAACCAGACCTCACCCGAACTAACCAGACCTAACTCTAACTCTAACGTGACCTAACCCGACCGAACCCGACCTAACCCGAACTAACCTAACCTAACCTAACTCGACCTAACCTAGCCCGACCTAACCCGACCTAACCTAACCTAACCTAACCCGACCTAACCTAGCCCGACCTAACCCGACCTAACCTAACCTAACCTAACCCGACCTAACCTAGCCCGACCTAACCCGACCTAACCTAACCCGACCTAACCTAACCTAACCCGACCTCTAACCTTACCCGACCTAACCCGACCTAACCCGACCTAACCCAACCGAACCTAACCCGACCTATCCTAACCTAACCCAACCCGACCTAACCCGACCTAACCTAACCCGACCTAACACGACCTAACCAAACCTAACCTAACCCGACCTAACCCGACCTAACCTAACCTGACCTAACCAGATCTAACTCTAACTCTAACCTAACCTAACCTAACCTAACCTAACCTAACCTAACCCGAGCTATCCTAACCCGACCTAACCCGACCTGACTCGACCTAACCTAACCCAACCTACCCCGACATAACCAGACCTAACCTAACCCGACCTAACTTAACCTAACCTAACTCTAACTCCAACCTAACCCGACCTAACCTGACCTAACCTATCCTGACCTAACTCTAACATAACCTAACCTAAACTAAATTTAACCTAACCTAAACCTAACCTTACCTAACTTAATCTAACCTAACCATACTATTACATTTTTCAATGCACATGATCGTACTTCTTGGTTGAGTCATCCTGTTTGTTTTGAATATATTAGTTGTAGTATTAATTGTAGTATTTGAATATATTATTTTCAATGTTGTAAATTTTTCGCTTTGAAAAATAATTAATGAAGAAATTTATGTATATTTATGTAGCTATTACTAATATTATGTTTAGGGTTCCACCGAACTTGAAGAGCGTGGTATATTGCACAGCCATTCGGGTGGGTGGACAAAGCGAGTGGAAATTTGCTTGGCAACGGTATCTAGCAGCCAACGTCGGATCAGAAAAGGATCTGCTTTTGCAGGCATTATCCTGCTCAAGAGAAATATGGTTGTTGAGTCGATATTTAGATTGGGCTGTGACGGAAAATTCAGGAATCAGAAAACAGGATGCTACTCAAGTTTTTGAATCGGTTGCCAGCAATGTTGCCGGACGTTCACTCACATTTGATTACATTAGAAACAAATGGATGGACCTCAGGCAATAGTAAGTTCCCTTATTTTTATATATATATATTTATACATCACGGTAAACCTTGAAGTGAAGCAGAACATTAATTAGAAGAGTCGATTAATCCTCCGTAATCTTTCCTATGGAAAGATAGCAATTTATTCTTACTTATAGTTTAAATGGTTATTGATTTTATTTTAGATTAAATTATGTTTCATTTGTGAAATTTAAATATTACATAAATATCATTTATCATTTTCAGTTTCGGAATATCATCTTCAATATCAGCTATGAATGCCATCATACCATCGGTAGCAGGAAATATAAATACAAAATACGAACTCAAAGATGTAAGTTGTGTAAAAAATGATATATTAAGTTAGTAAAACGCTACGAATTAATTCCAACACCTAATATATTTATTGGAAGTGATTTAAAATAAGTTTAAAAATAATTTAAATAAGAAAAATAAAATTAGTTTTGTTCTTTTGATAAATTCGATCAATGGGTTGATAATCATCAGTTTTCATAAAAATTTTATTTTTTAGGAAAAAAATAATTTTGCAATATACTTATTTTTTATGTTATTTTTCTAGCTGATAAACTTTGTAAAAGAACATCTGAATGAATTTAGTAATGCGACAAGAACCCTGCAACAAGTAATAGAGAATGCAGAATCTAACATAAGATGGTTTGATAAGCATCATGTGAAGATTTATAATTGGTTACAGAAAAATGTTGTATAATCGATAGACGTATCCTTAGAATATTAAATATAAAAGTAGACTCTACACAAAGAATATTTGTCGCTAGACAAATCTCTCTGTATAATTATTGTTAATTATATTTATGCAAACGATCATAATATTTGTCAGGTTGCAGTACAAATTTTCATCTTATTACGATTGATTCGTAGTAATGAGACGCTACAATCAAGTGTGAAAAAAGATAAAGAAAATCGACAGACCAAGAGAATAAAATTGTCACAATGCTTACAATTGGAACAATTTTGAGTATCAGTGCGAAAGGTTGTATTCATATAAATTTATTTTTAATTTGATCCGATTTAGATTTAAAAAATATTAATTTAATTTAAAATAAAGTATAACGAAAGAACTTGTGATATATAATTATACTGAGAATTCATAATGTTACGCATTTTATAATATTATTTACGTAATCGATATCTACTGTGAAATGTAGCAATTTAAAAATCTAAAATAATGTATAATTCGAATTAATCAAATTTCTTAGTTAAAAAAATTTCGTGACTCTTTCGTACGTTACATTTATCTATGTTAATACGAGAAAACAAAAAGCATATATGTCAAGGAGTATGTATTGTTCATTTTAAATTGTTCAATTTTTATAATTGAATTTTGTTACAAGTTAAAGTTGTCAGTTGCACAGAGAAAAAGATATGTTTAAACTCGAGAATTCTATTTACATTTGTTTCATTGAAACAAATTTAATTTTAAATGGAACATATTTTGTTTAAAAAAAATTAGTTTTAAAAAAATTTAGTTTTAATGAAAGTAATCACATTCTTAATTTAAACATCCATTTAGTTGGACTATTCCAAAGCATAAAAATTTGTTTGATTTAAAGAAATCTTTTTTTCTGTATGGGTTGTACTTTATAATATTAAATCTTTTAATAAATAGTACATCATTGTTATTTTTATTTTCTGTCATTTTATATTTATTCACTTAATTATAAAACTTGATTAAAAATACAATTTTTTTGCATTATATATATATACACTAAAATATTATATAAATAAAATCTAATTTCATTATTTCTAGATTTAAAACAAATCAAATCATTAAATAAAAAACATGGATTAAGAATATATTTTTTTATTGCGTGATAAAAATTCTAAAGAGCAATTTTTGTCTTCTGTTCAGTTTAATTATTTAGTAATAATTTAAAAGGTACGATATTAAAACAATGACAGTCATAAAAACGACGTTCAGTGATCCTAATCTGGTAGAACTATTTTCAGGATTATTTCCAGATTCCGAACCGATCATTAATTCTCTAATTTTGTCACCGTTATTTTGGAACCAGAATAAGTTAGTTTCTACAATATTAAGAGCAGAAACTAATCTCTCTCTAATGATTGAAGGATACTGATGTATATTATGTTCAATAAAGTATACCATCTAGAAAAAAAGAAGAATATATTATTATTATTTAATCTATTACTCAACGAAATTATCTAATTTATAACTGTCGTACTTTTATATAATTAAATAATAATAATAATAATATTAAGTAATATAACGCTGTGTAGAATATTTTAATATTGTAATATACTGACAAGCAATTTAATTAATGTAAAAAAAAATCTTTGATTAAGTTTCTCTTTTTCGTTCTGTCCATTTTCAATTCATTAAATAAGAATTCTGAATCATACCTGATTATATTGATCCTCGCTTGATACATATGATGCCACGTTAGTAAATATATCTACGATATCGTCCCATTTTCCAAAACTGTAATAAAAATATACAAGCGTAAGAATTTTATTGCTACGATTGCAATTAATAACGCTGTAATGATACTTACTATCGATGCAGTTTTTTGATATTTGTTGTTAAAAAGTCAATGGTAACATTTACTCCTATTGAACCTGCGCTGTACACGGAAGTAAACACCGCTGAAACATCTTGTCGACGAATGGCGGCATTTGCAGGATCATATTTTTCAATGGCTTTTCCTAAATAACTGTTAAATAAATTGTTCGTAAATTAAGTAATTATATAATTGCTCAGGGGGGAGGGGGATCAAAGTAATTAGAAAAATTATTATGACTATTATAATTTTAACAAGTTTTACAATATAAAAATAAAAAGACATAGATTTAGTTTTATTGTCATAAATATGTTTACTAACAAGAGTTAAAAAATAATTTTTTAAGTTTTCATTTAATTTTTCAAGCTAATTTTAAAAATAACTTATTTCAAGCATTTTAAGAACATCAAAATTAAATTAACATTTAAAAATTATATTTATAAACAAAACTTTCTTTTTTTTTTAAGTAAATTATGTTATTGTTGCATCCTTTACATTTGGAAACTTACTTTTGGAGCACCGTCTTATTTGTCGAGCATCCGAGTGCATTTATAATGATCTTTTTCTCTGTTTGAAGATTCGCCTGTAGATATTGAGTCCACAAGAATTCCCAATCATCTGTATTTCCTTTTTTTATTGCGGTGCAATAAACAGCTGGTCGTGCATTAGGTGAAATTCTATGAACAAGAAAATTTTAGATGAAAATTATAAATTTTACAATAAAATAAACTATAATTTAATTTTATAATTAAGTTAATAGATGCATTGATAATTTAATTCTTTATTAAATTTGTTAGTCTTTACATACTCATTTAAACTCTAAAAAAATAAAAATTTATAATTCTAATCTTTTCTGGAATTTTTTTATATTATAATTTTCCAAGATAATTTTAAATAAAAATTTTCATTTTTAATATATATATATATATATAATTTTCAATTATATGAAATTTTCAATTATTCGAAATTTTTTAAATGAAAATTTTTAATTTTTATGTGAAAAGATAATTGATGAAAACATGTGAAAAATATGTCAGGTATTTAGGATTAAAACAAATGTCATAATGTGGTAATTATTACTCAAAATTTGTTAGAATCTTACTTTTCAGAACTATTACGCCAAGTCGCAAATAAGTCTACAGATTTTTGTATACATTCTTCTTTATTTAACTTGCAAGCCCATTGAAGAATCATTTCTCGATGTAACCTATTTAAATAAGTATCATTATCGTCATCATTGAATCCTACATTATCGTACGTTTTAGACAATAATTTCAAAACGTATTTATTTAGATCCTCCTGGAAATTCTTCTCCTTATTTAGATCCTCCGGTAGTTCGAATCTTCTATAGATATATGATAGGCCGTTGAAAAATGCTTTCCAAGGTAAGTGATTCGTCTCGCTTCCCAAATATGCCAATGCTTTTATCAATAGATTATACTCCACATAATTAGCGCGAGCCAAGTTAAAGAGATCATCTATAATTTGTGCACGGTTCAAGACATGAATATCTTCGAAATTTGCACTATTTAGCTTGTCAATTAACGCATGCCATGAGGAATTGTCATAATTAACACGATAGAAGCCAGTTTGTTTGTAATTCACGATAAACCAGTCGTTAATAGAATTAATAAATATTTTTTGAGGTTCTGATCCTAGCCACGTTTTGTTTTCTAAAGATACATCAGCATACGTTTTCAGGTTGGATGAAACGAATAAATCAATTGGTATCCAATAAAATTCATTGCCAGAGGTATTTCTGTCTATCAAGAATCGTTCCTACAACATGTTAAATTAAGTTATAGAATTATATAGAAATAGATGTGAAAAAACGTTAGAGAAGAGCTTAATAAAAGCTATATAATGTACCTGAGTAAGTGTTATTATATTGTTAGTTAACGTAGCATTCACAACGGGATATCCTGGTTGATTTGTCCAAGTATTCATGACTTCTTCGATACTTGCGTTTCTGTTGCCAATTGGTATCGATACAAATGACTCGAAACTTTCCCATAAATCTGTAGGACGTGCTGTAAGATACTTTCGTTTCGTTAAATAATTACGGAGTGCCAATATATGAGCTTCTTCGCCGAATGCGTTAAACATCATTCGTAAAACACTAGCGGCTAAAATAAAAAAAAAATATATATATATAAATATTTTAATATTAAATATTAAAGTATTTAAAAGAATGTTTTGAATATCATACATATACATATATATAAACTACTTAATTTAATAATAAAGTAATTTGTAATTAAAAAACAAAATCGTTATGATATTTTAATTACTTTCGGAATAATAAGTTTATAATAGTAAATTTTCAAATAACAATTATACATAATAATTTATTACATAATAACAATTTTATATTTTGTATAAGTGTGTATATGTTTAATATTATACATTACATATTTTAATTATTATAATTTTTATATGATATAATATTATACATACATTTTCCGTAAGTGACGTAGTCAAAAATACTAGCTATTTGATCCGGTGTTTTAACAGAATTTGTCATTGGATGTGCTGAAATCGAAGCATCTTGTGACAGAGCAGAATGCACCTCGTAAACCACGAATTGATCCATGAACTTGTAGTCTGGAAATATCTAGAGGATAAAAATTATTATTACTATTTGAAAATTATTTGTTACTTATAATATAGTTATATTGTTATTTATAATATCTGCATTCTTTATATTATTTACAAAAATTACTGTACAATTGAATTTTTCACAGTAAACTAGCACGTTCTTTTAAAAATTTGAGAAAATTTAAAAGTGAAAGACAATTAAATGTTGGTTAATTTCTCGAATTTTTAAAGAAAAATGATTCGTTATATTTCAAATATAAAATATCACGTACTCGATCAGATGTAAACGACTCGAAATATTGCGCGAAACCTTCGTTAAGCCAAATATAATCCCACCAGTCGCAAGTAACGAGATCTCCAAACCACATATGACTAAGTTCGTGTGCTATTACGATAATTATATATTTTTCATATGTAGCTGTAGTTTCTTTTTCGTCGTAGAAAAGTCCATATTCGCTGATAAAAAAATTAAATTATTTATACGAAATTAGCAACATAAAATCTAAATTTGAATAGATAACATATATCTATTTCAACAATTATTAAGAAAAAGTAATATTATTACCGGAAAGTAACAAGGCCCCAGTTTTCCATTGCGCCCATAGAGAAATCTGGAATTCCTATTAAATCCAGCTTAGGTAAAGCATAATCAATGTCCGTAATATTCTGCAATACGTCAATAACTGCTATGCTGATATTTCGAGCGTATTTGCCATATGCCACGACTTCCGGTCTACCCCATACGTTGAAAGTTACGTGTTCAGGAGTTACGTTCTCAGGCTCAACCGCTGATTTAAATTTAGAGACAACAAATGCAACCAAATATGTTGACATACTGACATTGGTAGTGGCGAATGTGTCCCACGTATATCTATCGTTCCTAAATAACAAATAATTATAATGATATAAAGTTGTGTTGATTTAGGTACTTTTTTATACTTGAAAATTATACTGCGAAATATGCAGTAGTAATAAAAAGTTTGTTAAATGTATTTCCATTTATACTTACTTTGGATCTTTAGTTTCTGTTAAGTGTGGCATATTACTTAGCGAGGTGTAATTATTTAGCCTTTGAATGTTAATTGTGAAATTTGATTTAAACGCTGGTTCATCGAAACAGGGGAAAGCTTGTCTAGCATACGTAGGCTCAAAGTGTGTTGTAGCCAGCCAACTGAAAAAAATTAATAAATCAAATATTAAAAATAATAGTATAATTAATTATAAATATTATTAAATACTTCTACGCATCGACATTTATATTAAGTCATAAGTAATAACAGTTCAATTAAAAAGTTGAAAACTAAGATTTCAAAACGCTTTAATTTTTTTTTTAATAAATTATATTAGATATATATGTATTATTTATTATTGTATAATATAATAATGGATGTTACACTCACTGTTGCACTCCGTCACTATCGACATACGAACTACGATAAAATCCAGTCATTTCATCATTAAGAATTCCGTTAAATTGGATTTCCGCTATTATTTTTTCATTTGTATGTACGTAGCTGGATAAATATATTCTTAGTTGTTGTGGGCTATGTTTTGTCGTATAATTTTGTATATTTATTTCTGAGTCATTTCTGAAGACTTTGACACTTAAGATGTTGAGTTTGTGAGCATTGAGAGCTATCAAAGTAGTATTTTCCTGAACTGTCATGTGTATTTTCACTTTCCCTGTGAAAGTGCCCTTTTGCATATAAGGTGTAAGAGATATATTATACAGGTTTGGGTTGAGCGTTTTTGGTAAGCGGTACGTATTGGGAAATAGATTGTCCAATGCTTTAAAAATTCCTGGAACTTTTCTTTCATACCAATCAAATTCATTTTCAGCCGTTGCCAAATAGGAAGTGACAGAGTTCTCGAATTTTGGTTCTTTTTGAACCAGCCAATCGAGTAATTTTTGGTACTGCGAATAAAAAAAAAAATTTTATTGAATAGATATTAATTGATTAATTATGAAGAATTCTTCTAAACTATATTTTACTAAGAATTTGAATATTTATATAAAATATTTGATAAAATATAAAAATTATAACACAGAAAAATTTTGTATTTCAACGAGTTTAAAGAATTTACATTTTTTACGAAAATTTGAATAAAGCTTTATTAATTACAAATATTTTGTTTTATTTTATTATTAAATTGTTTTCTTGTCATTTAAATTTAATATTTAATAAAATGTATATCACATATATACAAAAAAATTATTTAATTGTATTGTTTCTTATAAAAATTTTTTAAAATTTGATATAGATATTTTTCTTGCAATTTTGATTAAATAAAATTAAATTAAAATGACATGATAAATTACCTGATTATAGAGATCATAAGTAGATAATCTACTTGCCAAAGCGTTCACTATATTTGCGATTTTGGTAGAATCATTAAAACTGTAAACACACACATACATGAACGGTATTTATTACATTGTAGTATTAGAATTTTTATTGCACAAAGTTATTTACTTACTTTCGGTGAAGTATATCATCGTAATACGTTTTAATTACTTCCATGACAACTTCAACGCCAACTAAACTCGCATCGTAAACGCTTGAGAATACTTTTGCACTATCTTGATACCGTATTTGTGAATTCTCTGTGACTGCCTCCCGTAACAACCTTTATTTAATATAAAGAATAATACATAAATTTAATTATATAAATTTTTAATTTATTTAATATAAGAAATAATAAATAAATTTGTTATCATAATTAGTTTAGCATTACAATTTTTTAAAATATTAGTTTATAAATTGTCTGTTATTCGTAAAGTTAATAGAACGACATCATAAATGTAATATTAGAAAATTTACCGAAGTTGTATCTTTGTAATTTTTATACAACATATGCTATTATTATATTTTATAAAATAATTGATTCAATTATTTTTTACAACTTTTTCATACAGACAATAAAAGAAAGCGTAATTTTTATTTGTCTTGTCCGTTCTCATGGCTGTACAGTAAACAACATCGCGATAATTTGGCGGTATTCTGTAAGAAAATCAATAATTTAAATATAATTGATATGATATTTATATATATATATCTCATTTTTATTTATATCTTAATTTTTTTAATTGTAATTACATATCAGAATTATGTACTATAGAAGCTTTATATCAAAGAAGAAAAGGAATATATTTTAATTTGTTTTTGGACTCACATTTCTGAACGTTGTTTCTGTTCGAAATATTTTGCAGCGGAGAATTTACAATCAGCTACATCTAATTTACAAGCCCAATTGCGAGTGTGTATTTTTAATATCTTAGTAAGATCGTCATCGCTCGTGTAATCTTCAAAGCCAATTCGTGTGTAAAGTTGTTTTATTAACAATGTTAACCATTTCTGAAAAAAAATCATACATATTAATTTTTCTCTACGGAATTGCTTACAAAAGTTCTTATAAAAATAAACATAAAAGAAACTGAATAACGATTGAAAAGCTTAAAATAGATTTGCAATTTAAAATAAAATTTAATTTATATAATTGTGACATACGTACTTTATATATGTCTTCATTATCGCGCCCTACAAAACGATTGTTTAAGTAAGGCAGATTATTGAAGAACGCACGCCAGGGGAAATAATTATTTTCTTTTTCCAAATACATTGTAGCAGATATAACAGTTTCATAATCAATATAGTCTGCTCTTGCAAGGTTCATAAGATCATCAATTAATGCTGCACGATTGATTTCGTGAATTGTTTGAATGTCCTGGGTTTTAAGATAATCAATCAGCTTCAGCCAATGTTGTTTGTTATAATTTACACGATAATAACCTAAAAACAAATATAAATATTTGTAAATACAAAAATAACTAATATCATCAAATAATGCAGATCCATACATTAAACATTATTAAATATAAAAATTTTTATATTCTTTTAAATATAAAAATTTTTATATTCTTTTATATTTTTGTCATTCTTTCTGGTTTGTCTTAGTTTTTAATTTGATTTGCATAATTACCTGATTGCTGATTATTGAATATTAAAAGTGATTCTGGTGATAAGTCCGATTGTTTTTTTTCCATTATCCTTTTTTTTGTCAACCAAAATTTCGGCGTGGTATTAAAATAGTCTGAAGTATTTTGAACTACTGCCCATGTAATTGGGATGTGCCATATAGTATCATCAAAAGTATTCTCATGTTCTTTAGGGAAGAATCGTTTTTGTTTCAAAAATATAAAGTTTGTTGAAACAGAGACAGTAACGATGGGATAGCCAGGTTGAGTTGTCCATGTGTCTAAGATAACTTTGACATCATCTTTTAATCCTATCTCATCTACTTTTAGTTGAAGTGATGCATATAAGTGATCCGGTGTAGCAACGTCATATTTTCTAAGAAATTAATTAAAAAGTGATTTATTCTTCCTAATAAAAATATCCGTTTAAAAAATAAAATTTTTAATTGTTATATCTTAAGTATTAAATTTGTTTTTTTGCTAAAATTTAACTACATTAAAAACTTATTAAACATATTAATATATTAAACATATAACATATTAACATTTAACATATTAAATCTATTCAGTTAATTTAAAATTTCTTTTATGCCGTAATGATATTTAAATTTAGCTGATAATATGTTTATGCAAATAATTAAAGATATGAAAATATTAATTACATTTTACAATTTCTAAACAAACATTTATTTAGCTATATTTATCTATGACTGAAACTTGTACATAATTAATGTACAACAATTAATTCAGTAAACGTTTGACAATTATCAATTAAAAATGGAAAACGTTCAATTTGTTAATAAAATATTTATTATAAGAAAGATATTATTGTTAAATACCGTTTATTAAGATAGTCAATTAATGCATCGTTGAACACGTCAATTCCATATGTTTTTTCGATCATTCTCAATATACTACCACCTTTGTTATAAGTGATTGAGTCAAATATACTCTGAATTTCACGGTTAGTTGCTACATCGTGACTCATGGGATGTGTAGAGGAAGAACTGTCTGCTTTGAAAGCAGAATGTACTTGGTCAACAACAAATTGCGATTCCAATGTCTCGTCATTAAACGCCTGGAATGTAAATAATAAATTTATTACTTAAAGAAACACTTAAGTAATGCGCAATATTTTTATTTTGGTATTTATTTCATTATTATATAATATTAAAATGTAGAAAGATATATACATGTACAGAGAAGATTGTAATTGACGTATTTGCAGTCTAAAAAAATTCTAAATCTTTCTTTAATTCTTAGAAAAATTCTATATGTATTAAAAATTTAAATTTCAAGTGTAATCATAAATTGGCATTACATTGGCGGAGTGTATTAATTACGTACACGAGCTGGAGCGTGATATTCGAAGTATCTAGCAAATCCCTCATTCAACCACACATACTTCCACCACAGAGGACTGACCAAATTTCCGAACCATTGATGGGAGATTTCATGAGCAATCACGTTTCTGATATCTTGTTTGTTTGTGATCGGCGAATGATTCTCATCATATAACATACTCGTTTCCCTGTATGTTAAAAGGCCCCAATTCTCCATTGCTCCTGCTCCGAAATCGGGCAGTGCAGCCATATAGAGTTTTGGAAGTGGATATTTTTGCTTGTATGTCGTTTCGTAGAAATTTATCAATTGAGACATTACAGATAGAGCGTAATCGGTTTGATTGATGGCGTTGGGACGTGCGTATACAGATAATTCAATTCCATTAGTTTGGTTAGATTTAGACTCGAAATCGGAAACGAGAACTGCCACTAAATATGTCGACATCGGTACTGATTTGAAAAAGGTGTATGATATACCACCATCGCTGCAACATTTTTTTAAGAATTCATTTTAATTTTTGTATTTCAATGAGATTTATAATAGACATGTAATTTTTTGTTCTCAAAATAGCAAACGTACTTATAATGTTTTCTATTGTTAATACTGTAATATTTTTTAATAAATTCCAAAAAATATTCCAAAAACACACACAACATATTTAAAGCACATTTTTCAAAAGAGATATTAATATTAATATTTTATTCATATTAATATTTATTAATCAGATTTTATTCTCTGTTCTACTAGAGATAAAAAAAATAATAATAATATTAAAATAAAATGTGTGTGTGTGTTTGCAATTGATGATGCAAAATTATAAGAAAAAGATCCAATTAAATTCTTTTTAAGAAATACATTATGCATACATTATCCTTTGCACTTGTATCGCCGTATTACTGATAGGTTTGTAACCATTTTCTTGTACGATAACTTGAATAGTGAAGTACGCTTTCATTGCTGGTTCATCAAAGCAAGGGAACATTTTTCTGGCGCTAACGGGTTCCATGTGCGAAGCTGCAAGCCATCTAGTACATCAAACATTTAACATTTGATTTTTAATGTAAAAATTTTTGTCAATGTAACTCCGATATATACGCCGCATCTAACAAAAACTTAATCTATTAGTATTACATATTTATGCTAAATGAACTATACCAGTAAAAACTTTGTACTGTCTATAGAGGTGGGATATATGACTATTAGGTAAAATGTATGGCTCATGATAAACTTACAAATAATGCTTAGAAATAAGACGTAAAATGACATAATAAAATGTGTTTACAAAGTTTTATCAAGGAACAAGAATGATAAATATGAATGATAATTATGTGTGTGTATATATATATATATATATATATAATAGATATTAATTATTATAATATTTTGCATATATTACAAGTGTTACGATATGAGGTACATGTAATATTATAATGCTCTATTGCATTTAATGCACTAGATAATGGAATTCAATCCGCGCACTTTATATGCTTTGAATAAATTCTGTTTGCTAAAAATGCCGTATATACATGACATTAAGATGAACAAAGAATATAAGAACTAAGCACTTATATTTTGCTATACTCTATTCTTTACTATCTCTCTACACTTATATATCACCAAATAACCATTATTGCAATATCTATAATAATCATTTTATGTAGGTAATGATATATGATTGCGCTATTTACTACATATTGGTTCAACTAACAGTAATTTCATTAATAATAACAGTAAAGAACAAAAATTGTAAGAATACTAATATAATATAAAAGCATATAATAGAGAGAGAATAGTTGTGTGCAAATTACCCCTACTTCTTCTATTTTTTCTGACTGCTGTGATGTAAATTTCCGCGCGGCGTAAATACCAGAGTTATTTTACAAACAAAAAGAAAATATAATAAAATATAAAAAAATATTTCTTTACACTTCTTATATCTTGTCTCCTCTAATTTTTTAAATCTATTTGGTGAAAATGATAACTTAAAATTAAATTATTGTTAAGGCGTTATTGTAAAATTATCATTAACATGAAATAAATTATAATAAATAATAGTAAATATATTAGTTTTTAGAAATTTTTCTCAGGATTTTTTATAAACGCGAATTTCTTGAAATAGAAAGAATATTCAAGAAAATATCGAATGATAACTTGCTTGACACAAATTGAATAAATAATATAATAATAATATTCAACATTACCTAGTTCCTCTTTCACTCACATAAGAACTTTTGTAAAAGCCATGAAGCTCAGCATTCAAATGACCTGTGTATTTGATTTTGATGTTCAATTTCGTTCCAGTAGTTAGTTCTGTTGTGAGATATATAACGTAGAATTCATATCGATCTACGAATTTTTCCTTTAATTTTTTTACTTCTGTCTGATTGGCTTTCACGATTACTTCGTCAGGTTCAATTTCCGACAAATGTAAAATAATCTGATTTGTTGGTTGTATAACATCGGCTTTGATCGTCACTTTTCCATCGAAGGTAAAATTCTCATTGAGATGAGGCGTAAGAGAAATGAAGTAATGTGTAGGAATTATATTGTTGGGTAGACGAAATCTTAAGTTGTCGTATGTTTGCAGCCATTGAGTTATAGATGCCGAATAGGAATTATACCAATCTAATTCATATTTAGCGACTTTTAAGGAGTACTCCAGAGATTTTTGAATCGACGCGAAGTTTGTTTTGTGAGCGTTTATGAATTTTTCGAATTTGTTTACTAAATTTTCGGTAGAGAAATGCTGTGATGCTCCATTGAGGATTGCGGCTATTGTACTCTGTCCTCCGTAGCTAAAAGTTGCATGTATATAAATCAACGAAATGAAATGATTTTTTTTATACATCCGTTGATATCGTTTAAATAACATTTTGTAAAGCCCAAAATAACTTGAACAAATATATTTTAAAGAATATGTTATGTGTAATGCATTTTAATATGCAGGTACACTATTAAAATATTACACCTCACGTTTATTTATGTGATTAAAATATTAAGTACTTATATTCTGTTTTTCTTTATGAATTAATATTGTATAAAATTACTGCATTATAAAAATAACTTACTATTCTTCCATCTGTTGATGATATTTTTCCACAAAGTCAAGAACATATTCTGCGCCAAGGAGGCCAGAGTTATAAACAGCTGCAAAGACGCTTGTACTGTCCTGTTTGCGAATTCGGCTGGTACTATAACTGCTAATGGCAGAGTTCAGATATCTACACGAAAATAATAGAAATTAATTTTATAAGAAAATATTATGTAGCGTACATAAAATATTTGCTTAAACTTTATCATAGTGCTATTTTCTTTTATCGGAATTACAGCTACAACTATATAGGCCAAATTAACGCTACCAAGGATTGTTAAAAAATTTAAATTACTTGTGTATTATTAATAAACATTTTTAATTATATCAATTAATTAGAAAACATTTAAGCTGTTTCTAGATAACTTGTTATCTGTAATAAGTATCATATATATCTCTTTATTTTGCTATCTTAAACAATAATACTTCTATACATTAAGTGGTAGCGATAGTTCAATCACATTTCAGCGTATATTTCAAACCTTACTTTTCTAAGATGGTGGTATTTTGACTGTATCCCAAAGCCTTTAAGATCACCATTTTGTCGGTCGCATAATTGGAATGAACATACTCATTCCACAAAAAATCCCAATCTTCAAAAGTTCCGTGTCTTATGGCTACGTAATACGCTGTGGGTCTTTCGTTCGGTTTGATACTATTGAATATTAAACAATTTAACATATATAATACATACCCACACCACACACACATCTTATAAAGATATTTAGAGACTACTTGAATACTACATTTTATTATATTTTATTTTATATGTATACATTATGGAGATCTCAATAAAAATGACAGAATGTTTCTTACCGAGCAGTAGCATCTTCTTTCCATTTTTTGTATTTCTTTGCATAATTGTTTATACATTCGTCATTGTCAAGCTTACAGAGCCAATTATTCACCTCTTGTCGTAACAAAACTGTTAATCTATCATCGTATTCCTTATCCTCATATCCTAGTTGAGTGTTTATGCCATCGATAAGAGATAAGATATAGATCTAGAAAAGAAATATAAAATAAATATTGTTATAAAATAATAATGTAATATATGTAAAATAATAATGTAATAATATGTATAACAGATTTGTTATATTTTTTACTTGAATTTATACAAATATCTTAGAATTCTAATTGCTTGAATATGCATTTAAATAATTTTATAAAAAAAGAAATTGCAAATTATTCAAAAAAATTGGTATGACAGACAATGTAAATAGTTGAGAATTTCTGTTATAATTAAGATAAGTTCGTTTAATTATGTATGCAAATTAGTGCTCTGTAATTAACAAAAATAAACCTTGACAAAAGAATGTTGCAATTCATGTCCTGTAAATCGCCTATTTAGATATTCGAAACCATTGAATGCTGCTTTAAAGGGCAGATAATTAGTTTCCCTTTTAAGATAACTCAATCCTTCGAAAATCGTATAATAATCTAGATATTTTGCTCTACCCAGATTTAATAGATCGTCTACAATGCCGGCTCTATTTAATACATGAATATCATCCAAGTTGCCGTGTTTCAAGACATTGAAAATATTTTGCCATCTACGGCTGTCATAATTTACACGATAAAAACCTGTAATAAAAATATCAAAATTAACAATAATTATCAATAAGTATTTAAGTAATTTTTATATAAAATGTAAGTTTTCTTAGAACTTATGACATTAATCCTTAATACATGATGATTTTCCGATTCATTACAACACATAATGCGTCGTTCGTGTCTCGGATTAATTATATTATTAGGTGTTGGAATTAATTCGTAAAAAAACGCTACGAATTAATTCCAACACCTAATACTTTTATAAATATACAATTATTAAATATATAATTATTAAGTGATTTTTACATATACCATAACACCTTTAAGAAAGATTTCAATAAGTATATATAATAATAAATTGTATATAAATGTTATAACTTACAATAAATATTGTAATTACTTATTGCTCCTAATATTTCAAACAAAAGAAATGCATAGGACACAAATGACCCAATTGAGTGCATTAAGATTTAAATTCTAAAAGTTTTTGTTTAATATTTTTAACATATATACAAAATTATTTTGTTAAAGTATCTTTTTTAATATAATATATTTTATCAATTAATAACAATTTAATAATTAACATACAATAATATAATAGTATAACTGACTAATAAAATAACGTGTATTAAATATTACTATTCATTTATAGCTCTGTATGTTATTCTTGTGCAGTTAAAAACACTATTCTATACTAACCTGATGATTGAATGTTGAATATAATCCAGTCTTCCGGATTAATTTCGTAATAAGCGGTGGATCTTTTGGAAGCTATCCAAAATTTTGGAATCGTGTCATCGAAATCTGGATCTGTTTGTGTAGTAAACGTGATTGGGACATACCAAATGGTATCGATAGAAGTCTCATTCAAATTTCTCAGAAGAAAGCGTTCTTGAGTAATATTTAGTATACCGTTGTCATTAATTGCGATTGTTACAACGGGGTATCCGGCTTTTGTAGTCCAAGAATCCATTATTGTTTTTACATCAATATTGAAACTTGACTTTATTGCTTCCCATAAAGTGTCTGGATGGCCCAATCCTTTCTCTTTGCTAAAAGATGTATTATGTTTGTATAATCCCTCAACCGCATTAAGGGAAAGAGATATTAAGAGATTATTATGAGATAATTGTGATTTAAAATGATTTTAATCTATACAATATGTAATCGAGTAGTAATAAATCAATTTCTTGCGTAAAAAATAATATATGTTACGATTAATTTAATAATAAAGGCACTAAATTAAAAAAAATGATTTGTATATTTAATTAAAATAGTTGTTCTTACAAGCTATTTCTGATTTTATAAGTTATGCAATTTTTTCAATAAATATTTTAAAATCGAATATCTTTTAATAAATAAATAAATTTTTCTAAAATATGATAATAGTTTACTGTACTTACTTGTTTTTTATATAGCTGCGCAATGCTTCTTCGAAAATTTCGTTTCCAAATACGTGACTCATCATACGTAGAATACTGGCTCCTTTGAAATAGGTAATAGTATCTGCCATTTCTTCGATTTGCGATGTACTAAAAACGTCCCGAGTCATTGGAAGAGAAGATTCAAGACTATCCGCCATTAATGCAGGTTGATGTTGATCTACCACGAATTGTTCCGCCATGTTCCATGTATCCTCGAGCTATAACAAATAAAAGTGTTAGAATACAAAAGCAAAATTTATTAATTGAATTTTTGTAAAATAATGTAAAAAATTTTGTGTAAAAATAAGATTTTTTAAAATATTTTTTGATATTATTATGGATGTCGAGGTGAATCAATCATTTATTTTTAAAAATGTTAATGTAATGTATGATTACATGGATTACATGGAGCAAAATTAAATTTTGTAAAAAAAATTAATTAAATTTATGACATTTATATAAATCTCGATTTTCTTTTCAAAATTATATTTTAACTATATTCGATGATTATATAACAATAAAATCTTCAATCTTACCAGTGCGGTACCGAAGTATTCAAAATATGAGGCAAATGCTTCGCTAAGCCAAAGGTAGCTCCACCATTCTGGTGTTACTAAATTTCCGAACCACATATGCGTGAGTTCGTGAGCGACTACGGAAGCCACATCCTGCTGAGCTAACACCGATGATTCTTTCTCATCGTACAGCATTCGGCTCTCGCGATATGTTACCAATCCCCAATTTTCCATAGCTCCGGCATCAAAGTCAGGAATGGCCACCATGTCCATTTTAGGAAATGTATAACTTTGATTAAATTTTTCACTAAACAAATCGAGAGCTGCAGTGCCGATTTTTAACGCATAGTTAGTCTGATTGATGGTGGACGGTTTGGACCATACTCCAAATTTAAATGAATTTGTATCGTTTTCCATTTGAACGAATTCCGCAATCACAAAGGCCACTAAGTATGTAGACATTAAGTTGCTTTGGTCAAAAACATCCCAGGTTTTGCCATCAGGTTTTCTTAAAAGCAAATGTATCACATATGTATTAAAGCAAAAAAATTCAGGAATGAAAATATATCGACAATTAAACTTTTTGACACTTTTTTGACACTTACAATTTTTCAGACTTTACCAATGGCATATTAGAGATAGTCGTATAATTATCATCTCTTGCTATTCTTATCGTAAAATTTGCCTTAAAACTCGGCTCGTCGAAGCATGGGAAGGCATGTCTCGCGTATGTCGATTCAAATTGTGTTGCAGCTAGCCATCTAGTTTTAAGCAGACATTCTTATTAGAAAACATCATGACATTTACTGGGATATATTTATATTCTTTTATTATATTCTTTTTATTATTTCTTTTATTGATATAAAACATATACATTGACATATCACTTACCTAAGCTTTCCATTTTCATCGAAATAAGAACTCTTATAAAATCCGATCATGTTGTCGGATAGGATTCCACTGTACTCAAAGCTAATTGTCATATTCATATTTACTAGAAGTAATCGGGGAAGGGTAATAGTAAACTTTTCAGTAATATTGTCATACGAAGTCGGAAAATTAGATGTAGAATCTATCGCGAATGTATTAAGAGACAATTTTTCAATTTTGATGTTTCCCACGTGCAGCGTAATAGTGTCAGTTGAATTTTGTACTACAGCAACAATTTTTGCTACTCCCATAAATGTAAAATTATTAAAATCTGGATTCAACATAATCTCGTACGAAAGGGGTTTAATGTTTGTTGGTAGTCTATAGTCGATGGAGTCATTTTGTGAGATATCCAGATTTCGCATAAATGTACCTAGAAAATTACGTAAATTATCTTAAAGCTGCATATACGAAACAATTTAAAAAAATGATACATTGCAAAATTGTCACACAAAATTAGCTAGAATTAGTAATCGCGTGCATCAATTTAAAAATGTGCTTATAGCTGTTATATAGATAAATAATATTTTTTATTATTAGTTTACATGAGTTTATTATGAGTTTATGTAAGTATTTAATTTTAATTAATAACACTAACATTTTATACATATAATCTTGTAAAATTCAAATTTATTTTGGAACACGGACATATATTGATAGACAAATATTGAAGAGAATGCATGTTTGTTCATATAAAATGCAAAACCACACAATTTTATGTATTAGTATTATATAGGTATACGTTTCAACTTTTTTATAAATATTTTTTGAAAGATTAATCGATGTGACAAAATATGTGTATATTAAATATAAAATAGGTAGAATTACCATCATAAAGAGGGGAATTGTGTGCTACGTTTCCGCAGAGTAATGTGATTAGGGTGCAAAGGAACAAATATTCCCGCGAGATCCTCATCTGAAAGGATTGCATAATTTTTCATGAATTTCGAACTGTATGAAGATATTCGTGGACACATTATATCCGTGAATACATAAATTTTTTTATTTAGTTTTAGTAACTTAATCAAGTATGTCGCATAAATATTTACCTTGTATTTTACTTAAATACAATTTGCCTTAATTATTTATTACAAAAAAAAATAACCTGACAAAATATTAAAACTTTACTTACTTTTTGAGCAGATCTATGCATAAACGTATTAAATTAAATGAAACGAGCTACCCGAGATTTAATGCTTTTAAAATTTTTTACAGTAAACATATGTCATTAACACAATAGTCTTTCGAAAATAGAAAAATTTCAACTACTTAAAAGTTAATTATATTTACCTTTACTAAAAGTGTCATCCCATTTATGGCTAATATTGTTGTTTTTTCATGGTTTATATTTTAATTCACAATGTTATAAATGTTCGTAATTTTGTCTGTAAAAGCAAAAAAGTTTATTATATCCACAATAAAATGACGTCACCAAATAACTATTTCACCACTTTTCCTAATATTTCAACCTTTAAACAAAATAATTATGGTATAAAGATTTGTGGTCACACATTTATCGCAGACAATAGATGTATCCGATTTTCACAGCACATAAACAATTTGCACGAATAGTTCTTGATCAAATGAGACCTTATTAAATACGTTTTGGTTTTTGTTACCGAGAGATTATCTATAATATATTGATATCTTATCACTGGTTTGTCAATGACGATGCTGTAATTTTTTCATATAAACTATGTTATCAAATGTATCTTTGCTTGCACAAAACGTCACGTATTAGAACAAATTAATAATTAAATATCTAGAAAAAATACGAGAGAGTGCCAACAAGATATTATAGATTAGAACTTGCAAGATTTATTATTACTAATTGTATCACTATAATTGTGTTTGCAGCAAGTTATTCTCAAATTAATTTATATCGATGATCTATAGTATATATATATATATATAATGCAATTTTTGTGTAGAGATACAACTTTATCAAATAATTCTCATATATCTTTAACATCTTTAAAATTATTCTTGATATCTTATAAGATTTATAATATTTTATGAAAAAGCAAAAGTCTTGAATAAATTACATAATTAATAAATTATGTAATTAATATTATTAATTATTATTAATAAATTATTATAAATCAGAATCGCGAAATCATTTAATTATATTAATCAAATTGTACGATTGTATTAAAATTTCATAACTGCCTTGTGAAAAATCATAATTTAAAAAATTATATTAAATAAACATACAAATCAAGTTTTATATTTTATTAATTAAAATCTGCACTAACCTTATCTTTGAGATAATATCAAAGTCTGACAAATAATATATCTTTTCATAAAATAGAATACACTTGTAACAAAATAAATGTCAACGCAATACATAATATTTGATAGTAAAATATAGTACATTTATAAATAATGCTAAAATTTGCTCGGATTCTTTTAAATGTATTTAAAACGAATTTATTTTGTTTTATTTCTAAAATATGTTTTTAATTTGAAAGATATATGCCTAATAATGATTTTTTTTGTAAGCAACTATTATAAGAAATTATAATGAATTTATAGAATTATGACACATGTATTATAAATATATTTATATCATACATAATTATATTATAAATATAATTATGATGATGCTGTTTGTATATTTTAAAACATGTATGCGCGCACATTTATGTGATAATCAAAGATTTTATAATTCCGCTCATAACAATACAAAATTGTTTTATTTAAAATTGTTTTGTGTTTAGAATGTAATAATATAGTTTTATTTTAATTAAGAAACTGACTACACTGGAAATCCCTATTACTTGTCATAACTGGTTTTCTTCTTTTATCTGTTATCTATGTACTCATACATATAACATATATAACATTACGAATGACAACAGTGCATTTATCGCGATAATCTCTGTTCTCTATTATAAATATAAATGTAGAAAATTGCATTTGACGCAATACTTCTTACTGTATAACGTATATTATGATAAAGTGATATACCTCTTCTGATAATGATGAATAGCGAATATAATACAAAAATATAAACTTGATTACTTTGTTTGTGACTTTACAATTTCTCTTTCTTATGAAGCATGATCAAATGTTTATTAGAAAATATTTTCAAAATAAGATAAAAGTTTAATGTATAAATATTAATTTTATTTCTTGATACTCTGATATCAGATAAGATCTAATTATTTTACTGAAAAAAATCACGTTATGAAGTCACATAAGTCGGAATCATGTAATTAAGACAAGTAAATCAGTAACGGATCCAAATCAGTACATGATTTTTTAGAATCATGTAATTTGAAAAGTTACACGATAATGTGTTTTTTTCTTCTATTTTTATCATTCTTTAAAATTCGATAATTATAAAATCACATGGTGGATGAAAAAATTATTTTTAATATCATGCGATTTTTTAAATTACGTGATTTAAAAAATTTTCTTTCTAAAAATGTTAACTGACATTTTATAGCGTGGACCTACCAAACAAATTTTTTTTTCTAATGAACAGTTAAAGAATAGAAAAATATCACGATTATCAATTTGAATATGTTGATGTGGTTGCATTTGACGTTATTTCGAACTTATTATATCAACCCAATACCCGATACGATACATTGCGGTACATAATTAAATCACAAATGTGTATCTAACACTTATAAGTTCGATAGCATTCGAATATTTACCGGCTACTTATATCTAATTACTGAAATGTTACTAATAGTCTGATAAAATCATTGTTAATTATGCTAGATAGATTTATTAGTTATCATCAACTATATATTTAAATTTATCTTTTATTACACTATTATTTAGTATTAATTATTTTTGAATACATTATTGTACATAAAAATCTTATTTACAAGATATTATTGACAATTATAATAATCTTTATGAAATTTTTATTGGTGACGTTATCGATAAAATATCGAATTTATTGTAATATAACATTTGTAGATGAATTTGAACCTTTATGTACTAACCATACACGAATTTTATTTACTATTGTTTCTATCAAATCTATATTGTGCTCTTGAAGTTTCATGATTTGTGGTACTTCCATTCCAAGTTTATCTAAAAGTGCTTTTATCTGAAAAGAAATATTGATACATATTTAAAAAATATACTATTATTTTTTATAAATTTCTTTTTTAAAAATAAAAATATTTATACATATATACATATAACATTATATATTTTTTATATAATTTTTTATGCAAAATCTATACCTTTTGGATTTGTTTCCTGGATACAATACTCCAACTAATATCATACACTAAATCCACTGGATCAACGCTGTAATAAAAAATTTAATGTGTTATAGAATTTTGTGATTAAAAGAAAATATGCAATTTTTAAAACATTAGATAATATAATAAGATTATTACATAGTTGTAAGTTTATCCCAGTGATTCATAATAAAATCCATGACGACATCGACATTTGGAAAACCTCCATTTAATACGGAATAAATAATACGATGAATATCATTTTTCGCAATTGGTGCATCTTCAGATACAGTCATATTTAAAAATTTCTCGATAATAGTCGGGTTTCTAGAGTGTCCCAGACAGTATAATGTTTGTTCAGACAAGTTTGTGTACAAATATAACAATTTGTTCCAAATAGTTTCATTCGCTTGTTTTATACCATTACAAAATATCCATCTTTTCGTATGAAATGAAGTTCTAAAGCAGAATTTTTAGAAATGTATATAAAAAAGAATTATTCTCAATATTATTTACTTTTAGCAAATAAATGTATTACATATTATTTGTTTTTCTTTCCTTATATATGTAATATTTTGTATTTACCTATTTGAAAATATTGTTGAATTTTTTAAATAATCAATTAATTGAGTATAGGCTTTATTTAAGCATGCAGGATGATCAAAAACGCACGCATCTTCAAGAATTGCATTTCTCGTGAATTTCGTGAAGTAATCGTCATTCGGATGCTCTTGTGTACCTATAGTTTCTACTATATTGTTTATCAAGTCCAAAATGTATGACTATAATTATATAAATTTGATCAATTTTATAATACATTCGTACTATAAATTAAATATAGAGCATTTTAATCAATTACTATAATAAAATAGGAATATGTATTATTAAAATGATAATATGTTATGTAACAGTTTTATATATCAATGGGTTTTAAAATCAGTAATGATTGCATTTATTAATTAATTTAATGTTCTATATATTATCTGAAACATTTCTTAATAATTCTTGTACAGGTTTTTTAATTATTCTTGCATTTTATTATATGTAATATTATAATTTACCTTAAGCAATTCACCTCCTCCATTATAAGCAAAATATTTGGTTGCGTCTCTTAAAATTTTAAATAGTGAGAACCATACTACATAATCCGTTTCACGTCGTAAATATTTTGTAAGGTCCATAAAAATTCTGGGATCTAATTTATCCGTGAACATAAGGTAAATCGCATCGTTAATTATCCGTGCGCGATTCAGTACATGTATTTTTGTATAATTCTCAGAATTCAGATAATCAGCAATTTTCAACCAATTTATTGTGTCATAATTCACACGGTAAAAACCTAAAATTTTAGTATAATTTAAATTTATATATTATCAAATATTGAATTTTTGAATTAATATCTAAATAATCTTTTATAAAACCATGTAAATCTTACCAGTTTGTTGAACATTTATGATAATCCAATCTTGTGGGTCGATACCATCGATTACGAGTTCTTCAGCTTTTGGCGACAACCAATGCGTTGCTAAGGTTGATGAAAAATTTGGATCGGTGCGAGTTGCAAAATTTATTGGTACCCACCACTTTATATTCGTAATATCTATGTTAATGAGGTTCTTACGTACACTTATTTTTTCGTATGGTTGAAAATATTTCTGTGTAATCTTTATCTTTCCAGTATGTTGATCTCTAATTACTGTAATAAGGGGATATCCTTTCTGTTCTATCCAGGTATCCATTACTTCTTGAATTTTGAATTTGTTTTGAGATACCGCTGATTCATCAAATGCATCTTGCAAAGCAGCCCATAAATCTTCAGGCTTAGCTGCGCCGTACTTGCTAATAATTTTTTTTATAGATATACATTGAGTTTATAGATTACCTATTATATTGTAGCATTATTATAACTTTTATAATAATTTTATGAGATATTGCCTAAGAAAAGCCATAATACACATAACATTCTAATGTACAAATGGCTTCTATTATTATTTAAATAATAGTAATTTAATAGCCTAATTGAAAATATATTTTATAAATGTATTCATTTTTGTATAAAATTATAATATAATACTTTACTAACTGCTTATTAAGATATCTGATGAGCCCTGTGTGGAATACATCATCAGAGAGACAATGTGAAAGCATTCTTAAAAGTAGAGAAGCTGAAATGACAATCGTATTTTTTAAGGAAGGATTCGCGACTTTTTTATAAGATAATTTTAAATTTGAGTAATCTGTAGTTATTATTTAATATTTCACCTTTTTGATTTTTTAATGGAGAAAATTTAAATTTAATTTCTTCAATAGTATTAGGCTCCAAATTAAGAGGTTGTGTGTATTCTAAACTATCCAAAAATAGGATTGAATTTAGCGTTTCCATAATTAAAAAATCCATAACTCGCCAATCTTTATAAATCTAAATGTAAAAAAAAATCTACTTAATATTTATGTATATTATATTTAAAAATTATGATATGCTCTAATTCTGATATTTTTGTTTTCTTAGAAGAAAATCATATATTTTACGAAAACTATTAGATAAAGAGATGTACAGTGATATATTTTCAAAACAATGTTTGATTGTGAAATAAAATAAAATGCATTTGTGAACTTTATTATTAAATTTTTACCTTATCAGTAGTGTAATATTTGAAATATTCCGCAAGTCCTTCATTCATCCATATGTAAGTCCACCAGGAAGGACTAACAACATTACCAAACCATTGATGGCTCGATTGATGAATGATATTATTTGCAATTCTATACAATTCGTTGATTGAACTTCCCTCTTCATTGTATAATATTGTAGCTTCCCTATAGATAATATAATTGTAATGTATATACCAAACGTATATAAAAGTTCGTTTCACAAATATTCTAAAATAATTTGATACGTTATTTTATATCATCTGTATCGACTATTTTTTATATATGAAAATATGTAAAAATATATAACATCATCAAAGCGAGGACAAAAAATATTTTTGCAAATGTAATATTTTATATATAAACAAAATTTGCGATATTGCAGAATAATACACGTCTATAAAATATTCTATTTTTCTAAAGCGTTATGATATAAGAGTTTTTAACTGTACAAAATTAATGTAATATGATTTCATATTAGGTGTTGGAATTAATTCGTAGCGTTTTTTAATGAAAGAATGTTATTTATTTCACATGAGCATTAAAAAATACATTAATGAAAGTACTTCCCATCACTTGTAAAACGCTACGAATTAATTCCAACACCTAATATATAAATAGATTTTTCAATTCATACAAGCATTTATGAGATATCACATCACTGATATTTGATGTATTGCCATATCTTATTTTTCTGTAAACGTTATTGCATTTCTACGCACGTATCATGACATTACTTGTAAGTGATAAGCCCCCAACTTTCCATGCCCTTATTGTATCCAATAACATATCTGTCAGGAAGCGCAACATGATCGATTTTGGCCAACCGAACGGAACTGTTGGTGTAACGTTCCAATTCGATCGCCGCTTTCTGCGCGACTTCGTGGGCGAAACTTGCTGAGGAAATTACACTGCCTCTGCTCCAGACGTTGATGGTTCCATCGGAATTGCTTATATTACGAAGATCGAAGATTAGGAAACTGACTAGATACGTTGATATGACGGGCGATTCTTCAAAATGTGTCCATATCTTTCCGTCACTCTCGTCGATTTCCGATTCTTCGGAAATCGGCATGTTCGAAATAGCCGTGTAATTACGATGATGTTTGATGGCAATCTTAAAAGAGGCCTTCAATGCCGGTTCATCCCAACAGGGAAAAGCAGCACGTGCGTAAGTTGCCATGAAATTTGTCCCGGCAAACCATCTGTTAAAATTTCAACTGTTATTATATTATATTTTTAAAGACAATGATTTATTTTTATTGTATAGTTTTATTATTAAAATTTATTTATTTATAAAGTATTTACTTATATAAAGTACTAAGATTTTGTTTATTAATTTATTTTTTATATATAATTCAGAAACCGATAATGAATGATTTCATACTTACACTATATCTTTTGTATTATTAACATAAGAACTTCGGTAGAATCCATACGATCTATCGTTCAATATACCAGCAAATTTCAGATATAAAATATAATGTCCAATAGATAGTTCCTTGGCAAAACCAAGAGTTAAAAATTCAGTTATATTGTTACTGTTATATATAGTGGGAACGTAAAAGTCAAATCCAGTGTTAGTTTTCAGAAAAGATGCGTTTTCATCTATTATCAGCTTCTTTGTATGCAGTGTGATAGTTCTTGTCTGGTTCAAAATTTCGATATGGACGAGTACTTCGCCATCGAATGTAAAGTTGTCTGACGTAAGATGCGGGTTCAATTTAAGATCATAGAATAGAGGTTTTGTGTGATTAGGTAGCCGATAATTTATTTCCTTATCATTCAGATTTGCGTCTTGAATGGCAACGGCGTCTATTGCGACGAATGCAAAAACAATGTAGATAATTTTGCATGTCAGCATTCTGAAAAAATAAAAGAATTAGTTTAAATTTCTTTTAAATATTATTGATAGATTTCTTTTTATTAAAAATTCACAACAAACATAAAATGAAAGTCTCTTATACGTCATTATTATTATAAATTTACTGTCTTGTTACTTGAATAATGCTAATTGTATTCTGGTATCGATTTTCATATTCGGATTGTATCAGTTTAGTATGTAACTTAAATTTAAGCAATTTATGCTTAAAAATAATAAACTATAATTTGATAAAATTAAAATTTTTTATTTGATAAAATTTATTTGATAAAATTAGAACTTTTTATTTTTCTTATATATAAAAAATATTATTTTTAAAAATATAATTAATTAATATATATATATATATATATAGACAGATGATCCTATTTTAATTTAATGTTTAATATTTTAATAGAACTTAAACACATGTGTACCTTGTATTTATAAAAACGTAGCTTCGCGTTCATCAGAGAAGTGTGAATGTAATACCGCAAAGTATAATAAATGTGGAAATGCGTCTCTGCGTCAAAACAACTAACGTGACCGTAGTGTTAATTAAGCGAATTAAGCATATTAAACAATAGCAGTGAGTATCATGTTCAAGGCTGAGTTTAGTTTTATATAATTTCAACACAAACGAATGGTAATCCTGAAAAAAAAATCACATATATAATGTATATATGTTATATTCATATAATTTATTGTGGACATCATAAATGTGTTAATTTTAAATGACTGTTGTGTTAAGATTTTTTGCAAATAATTACAAAAATATATTAAATTATTGTTTGTTTAATTATAAAAAGCAATTTCTAAGTAAAAATGCAGAATACAAAAGTTGTAATAGCGCTATGCTTAAAGAACATATTCAATTAAAATTTATCAATAATTTAAAATTTAAATCAATAATTTTTGAAAAAAAAGAATTCTTATATACAAAAATAGTATGTAAATATTGATTAGTTTAACAGTATATTTATTATTTTTGTGTAAAAGTGATCTAATTACGTTAATGGATATTTACTATAAAATATTTTTTTTACGTACCTACGTTATTAGGTGTTACAAGATCCCGACGATTGTAGTGATTATACTAGCCACTATTACTTCTTATTTATAGAAACAAAGCTCTTTGCTACGATTTTTGGAAACGTTTGATGTTAATAAAGAATGATCGTTTCGAAAAAGCAAAGCAAGGCAAGTAATTTTGCTATGTATAAGTATTATGGCACGACTTTTGAATATGCGTTTTTACCTTTGCATTATTAATAGATATAATAATAAACACAATTGGGCAATATTTAAATGTAAAAATTTTAGAAGATTATATTTTCTAAAATATTAGTAAATATAAGTAGCATAAGGAAACAAAAATAATATTTATTAAATAATCGTAAACATTGATAGAAAGTAATTATAAATAAATTGATATAAATTAATTAAACATGTTAAAGTAAGTAAATGCCAATACAATTTTGAATAATATTAAGTATATTTATATATAGAAAAAATAATAATATAGAAATTTAATCTTAGAGAGGAATACTATAATATTCAATACAATATGTTTTATTACGTACATTTTTATTAAAATGTAAATATAATGTTGTAATATAAAATATAATATATTTAAGTACAAAACAAAAATATTAATATAAAAATTTTTTATATTAAAATATACACATGAGAGAAATAGTGAAGATACAAAATATATAACTTACAAGTATTGTAAATTAAAAAAGAAGGAGCTTTTTGGTAAGTTCTCAACTATAAAATACATATATATACACATATATATATATATATATATATATATATATATATATATAACTTTAATATGATAGTATAACTATCATATCATCTAAATTTAGTTTATATAGTTTAATTATTGATATACGATAAAAATAAATAAAAATAAATTTAATTAAATAAAGATACGATATGCCTAAGATAATAAAATTACCTTGTCAAGTCGTTCATTAGAATGTACGCTAAAAATAGTAGCCAGTAACATTTTTCGTTTTGAGATTTCTCTATAAAAGAATTTATGAAAGATTTATAATTAGTAAATAAAAACATAATGTTTATAATTAGTAAAAAATGTTATTACCTAGGGCTGATTTTTTCTAAATTTATTAATATGTAGTTGAGTACCGCATCGTTGTCTGAATGTTCCTGAATAATATTTTGAATAATATTATAGTAATGATTGTTTCGTAAATGATTGTTTATTATTTCATTCGAGATACTTGTATTTATGAAATTAATCAGAATATCAGGATCTTCAGAGCAAGTCAAGTAATCTAATATATTTTTGTCTTGGTTAATGAAGTATATATCTCTTAATTTATTCCAAGTAGTTTTGTTGGCTTGCATCATACCATTACAATAAATCCATTCTTTTAAATTTGTAGATATTCTATTTTGTTTAAATAAAAAGATTAGTCTGTAACTTTTTGTGTAGCAAATAAGAATTTATTATTACTTTGCGTCGTACATTGAGAACTTTATCTCAATAAAATTACCTGTGTGTTTCAGGATTTGCAAGAACTTCATTTAATTTAATAGTGGCTATTCTCTTGCACTCGGAGTGATTGAAACTCTCGTGAGCTTTATAAATTCATGTTCAGCAGTATCTTCTGCGTATCCTACATTTTTAATAAGCTCATCCAAAATATGTAGTATGTATTGCTATGTAGGATTATAAATAAAATTAATTTAATGGTCTTTCTACTAAATTAAATATTAAGTATAAATATTTTTTTATTATTAAATGTAATAATGTTACCTTGATATAATCAATTTCTAAAATTTTGTAAAATTTTTCCGTATACATGTCAAAAAAGTTAAACATATGATATAATACTATAAAATCGGTCTCTCGAGACAGATAATTTGCAAGATCCAGAAATATCTTGATATCAAGTTGATCTGTGATCATAAGATGATAGGAGTCATCAATGATTTGAGCTCGATTAAGTACATGTATTTTTGTATAATTGTCAGAGTTGAGGTAGTTTGCAATTTTTCGCCAATTTGTATCATCATAATTAACGCGATAAAACCCTGTTAAGAAAACCCTGTTTAATTCATATTAAAAATTATATTATTAAATCTTTTTGAGATTTATTGAGAAATGTGTTTGAATTTTTTTTCTCATATTCAAGACGTATATATAAGTAAATTCCTATTATAAACTATAAAATAAATTATTTCTGAAATTTTAAAGAAAAATTATAGTATACGGAAACTAATACTTCTTCATTAGAATAAAATTATTGGTAAATGTATACATGAGGCATATTCACCCGTTTGTTGTATATTAACTATGATCCAATCATTTGGATCGATTCCGTTAACACTGATATTTTTATCTTGTGGTCTTAGCCACTGAGTAGGCAGAGTTCTGGAGAAATCGGGATTCGACCGCGTAGCAAAAGTCAAAGGTATCCACCACTTATCGCCATTGATATGTTCATTTTCGCTTTTTGGATAGAAATGTTCTTGAGCTAGTATTATTTCACCAGTGTCATAGTTTCGGGTCACGTGTACCATAGGGTAATGTCTTTGTTTTACCCAGGTATCCATTACCTCTTTCAATGTATAGGCATTATGTGGAACATCTGATTCATCGAGGGCCGCTTGAAAGGCATTCCATAAGTCATCGGAAGTAACCGAACTAAACTGGCTACACAATGTAAAATAAACATGAAAAATAATGTAGAAGATCAATTTTTGTTTAATTTGTTTTATAGATCATATAAGAAATAAAGAAATTTTTAATAAAAATTTTAAAAAATTTTTATTGTGAAAAATTAATGAAAAGTTAAATGTAGGGGAGATCGAGAGTGGTTGTCATAGTAAAAAGAAAAGGATTCTCTGTCTCATATATATATATATATATACACACACATAAATTGAATTATATAAGCTTTTTAAAAATCAACCTGCCTTTTAAATGACAACCGGCCTTAGCATCCTCTAATCTTATTATTATATTTAATGTTTTATACGCTATATTACGATAATTCATATATCTATAAATATCAAGAATTGTATGTTACTTACTGTTTGTGTAAATATTTAATGATACCTTTCTGAAATACTTTAGCAGTAATAATATGCTGTAACATGCGCAGTATAGCAGGTGCTGTGATAATTAACGTTATAAAGTACGATTAATATGTTAAAATAACATAAGGACATCCATAAATTTGCAAAATTTATGTTAGGCAAAAATCGATTTATGGAATTTAAAAACAGAACGCATATTTTTTCATGTTCTTATGACAAATTTAATATATAAGTAAATAATAATTTCTATTTAAAAAAAAATCATTACTTTTTCTATTACTTCGTGTTATTTATGTGTTAGAGACTTAGAAGATTTATTTACATTTACTTCTTACCTTTGCCATAACTGGAATAAGAAAAGTGTGAATCAATTTCTTCACGAGTTTTGACTTCGAATACAATAGGTTTCATTTTTTTGGCAACATCAGTATCAAGAGCTTCTTGTTGAACCTTGACAACAAAGAAATCCATTATACGCCAATCTTTGAAAATCTGGAAACATATAGAACTCTAGAAAATTAAGATTAACTAAATATAAAATTAATGAAATATTATTATTACCAATAAAAGTAAATAATTAAAAATTTATTTTAATTTAATTAGTAATTATTTAAAATATGTAATTATTGATGATATTTTTAAACTGCTATAACCGATTATTTATATTTTTATATTTAATAATCATATAGATATAGAGAGATCCATTATTTCAATTGATCTGTTTAATTTATCTGCTATACAACTTTTTGAAATGCACAAATGTGAATAAATTCAATTTAACAAATTGTATTTAAACTGTATTTACTTCATTGAGAATATACTCTTCGAAAAATGTTGCAAATCCCTCGTTTAGCCACACGTGAGACCACCATGACGGACTGACCACATTACCAAACCATTGATGTGCCATTTCATGTGCTACTGTCACTGCTACTCGTTGTTTATGAAACATTGTATCTTTTTTTTCATTGTACGCAAAGTCTTTTTCGCTAAAAATGATTTTATAACTCATTGTCAGTTATATATCGTCTCTTTTTGTCCATATAATGTTTACATATAATTGTTTAAATTAAGAGTTTTTATAGTCTTGACAATTTACAATTTATAATTACGTGTCTTTATCCTTAATTTTTCTTAATTTAGAATATGACTCTATTATATTTTTATATTTCATCATCTTTATATCTTTTTCACAATTGCTTAATGCCATTTTAAATTCATAGTTAAATTGTTTAAAATGTTTAAAATTATTTCGAAAAGATATAATTTAAACATAAAGAAAATAAAAATTGACTTGCAGTTGGAGAAAAATCCTAGCTATTTTCTTTCAAAGAGTTTTGACAATTATATAGCATTAAACATAAATATACATGTACCAATAATCTGTTAACATGCAAATTATATAATATGTAAAATCACAAAGAATTTTCTATTTATGATGCAAGGAGAATATGCAAAATACAAGAATTGCTTTGTTAATATAAGAGATCTGTTTTGTTAATATTTCTCTTAAATTATATTGTATTACTTATAAATAATAAGTCCCCAATTTTCCATGGCACCAGCTGTTAGTTGCGGAACTGCTAAATGATCCATTTTTGGAACTTTGTCGGTGATGTTGGTGTATTCTGTTAATATGTCTGTAGCCTTTTGAGCAATCTGCTGTACAAGTTTTGAGTGCGGAGCCAATGCTGATCTGCACCATATATTGAGCGTTTCATCTACATTAGGAATACGTACATAATTGGACACTACAAACGCTATGAGATAAGTAGACATGATGGGAGTCATGTCGAAGTGTGTCCATATCATATCGTCTTTGTCATCCGATTGATCCCGTATTGGCATATTTGACACAGCTGTGTAATTTCGTCGATGTTTTATGGAGATATTGAAAGTGGCCTTTAATGCTGGTTCGTCCCAACACGGGAAAGCTCGTCGCGCCCAACTTGCCTCGAAATGCGATGCGGCCAACCACCTATCACATTTCAATATGACACGTTTTCAATAATGGATACATCAACTACTGTTAAAACGAGCAAAATGTTTGGAAAATGTGAAACAACTGCGGTTTAGAAATCATATTTGAATAATAATATTCATTTTTTGCAATCTGGTTGTGACATATGTATCCGATGCCTTTGAATGAGGACAAGTACATATGCTTAGAAATTTAATAATATAATTTTATTAGAATAATTATAATGATTAAAATAATAATTTTATGCAATGTGTAAAAATTAAAAAAAAATCAATTTTTCGATTACAATCGAAATTTATTTTTTTTATTATAGATGTGTTTTTATTATAAATGCTTTAGAAAAATATTTCGGATAAAATTTTGTTCTAAAAAAAATGTATAAAAATATTTCATTATAAATTTAAAAAGAAATGTAAAATGTATGAAAGTACTTCCCATCACTTGTAAAACGCTACGAATTAATTCCAACACCTAATACATTTAAAGAGGATGTTTAATTATATAAAGATGTTCTAAAAATTGACATATATTATAATAATAATTGAAAGAATAAGTAAATGAATGGATAATTTTAATGAATCATGTATCGAGAATAATACATAATAATTAAGAACATCTTTAAAATTTTAATCAACATTTCTATACTTACACTTTTTCTCCTTTCTCATTGATATACGATGTTCTGAAGAAGCCATGCAATTCGTCATTTAGAATACCGATGAATTGCATATATAGACTATAAATTCCAGGGGATAATTTATCATTGAAATGAAGAGTTAAGATTTCTGTTTTGTTGTCATAATTATGCGTCGTCGGTGCGTAGATATCAGTATCGCTGCTGATCAATGATGTTGCTGTTTCATTTATAATTAAATCCAGTGCGTGTAAACTTATGTTCTGCGATGTACGACGAATCTTGATGATGATATGCGATTTACCATCAAAGGTAAAATTATCCTTTTCAATATACGGTATAAGTCTGATGTTGTAGTGCACTGGCACTACGTTGTCTGGTAAACGGTAATTGACTGTGCTCAAATCATTCCCTGAATCTCCGTCAATAGAAAGAGTCGTTGCAGCGGTGAATATTAAGCCAACATTTAATAATACTTTCAGAAACGCCATGCGAATTCTTTTCTTAAATATCTGTACGAATATTATTCGAATATTACTTCCAATTATTATATTTCAATAAATTGGTTTTTAAGAAAAAGAGTTTGTATATAAATATTATTATACATAATATCATTTTTAGCATTGATAATGACCTAAAAGAGATTAAAACGTCTGTTTATATTCTCAATTGTTTTTGTATTTTCTGTTAGTTTATTACACTAAATTTGAATTGTTTTGGGGCTCGTAGCCCTTCGTATTACATTTATTTTATAAATATTATTGATATAAATTTTGTATAGTTACTATTTGAATTAGTTTCTAAAAGATTAAAAAGAAAAATACAGAAATTATCTTAATATTTATAACACAAACATATGTATATACAAATTTTTAATAAATAATTTTATTTATATTACCTAGTCAGAAATAATTGGCCGAATCGGCGTTGACGGATCAGTATTATTGACGTCAATCAACGTTGATTTAATTAATTATTTTTAGTGCGGTATTTTCAATATGTTACAATTTTAATAATATTGTTTAACACAATAAAAATCTTTTTTTAGTTATATGCACTATATTAAATATATTATGGAAAATCCCGTGTTTAGAAACACGTCTATACAATATAATATCGTGCTTATCAAGAATATACATCGATATTTGAATTTGAATTCAAGATAATTATTGATGGCTTCACGAAATGTTAGCGAGATAATTCTCGTATTGTATTATTGTAATCAGTTTCTCATTGTTGTCGATGAATATTACCTTTCTATTCAATATATTTACGTGAATATAATTGCCGAAATCAAGCGAAACGTTGCTGCAACTAGGTGTGTCTTCCTGCTCGATAGTAAAGTGTCTTTACTTGTGAAATAAATTGACTTTAGTCTTCTTTTATAACATTCGGTAAGAATACTTACTCGTATGACAATCGGATATTCGACGCACACCCATTGTTATTTCAAACATGTTTAAAGGCATGAATAATTTACATGATTGACCTATGTCTCATATTATGAAACGATGAGTTATGTTACGCATTATAATAAAAGAATATAAATTATCTCTGTTATCGTGTTTTCGTTTTTAATGTAAAAAAATCTTTTCTACTAAAACTTATTTTATTATTATGATCATTTTAATGATGTTCAATCTATATAAAACTTTTATGAATATTTTTACGTAATAATGAATAATTATACCTACACTAGGAATAGATATACTTATTAATACCTGTTAAATCATACGTAATTAATTTCGAACAATACAAATAATTATATCTTTTATTAAATACATTTTATGTTATAAAAGGCAAGTTTAAAGCAATCAGTCAATCACAATGCAAAAAATTTCCTTATATAATTTTATGAACATAATCTCTCTGTTAACATTTTAACTGTTATAAAATTTGACGTTGAAAAGATTAACGTCTTTATAATTCTTCTTTATTTCAGTTATAAATAATCATAAATTAAATAAATTATTGTATAAGTATAAATAGCAATCAATATATTTACAATCATATCATGTACATACAATTATGTAACTATATTATACGTCTTAATAACTTTTCAGTATATTAATTATATAGTATTAAGTTTTTCATGGATCTGTATTTGGTCTTTAATTTAGAATTCGTTAAATGTTATAATGTCATTTAGTTTATCAGCTAAATGCATCATTACTAAAAGCATTTTTGATATCTTATAAATTACAATAAATGCATTTACATTAAAATTGTAACTTGGAATGAATATGAGAAATTTGAGAAGAAAATGCATAATATACATTATCATAATATGCAGTATCTTTCATTGGATTTTATCTTCTTCTCATTTACAAAATCAAATGTAATAATGTTTCAACAAATAAATCATTGTTGAAAGAGCCAGAAAAGTGTTATACATCCGATTTTATTGAGAAAATATGATTAAGTTGGAAATTAATCAATTGAAGATATTACATAATAATGAATTTGACTTTTTAATAGAATCGTGTGAGTAACAACAAAATAATTGGAAGGAACAACGATAAAGTAATGGAGCATGCACTTGAAGAATCTGGCTTATTTTCATTACAAGTTTCACAATTTTTTACTATCCATGTCTCAACATCGTCTCTGTGGGTATTGATCCAGGCAAGTTTGTTTATCGCAACGGACAATACTTCAAGCTTCTGTGCGTCTTGCAGTTGCCTATGTATGAGTAGCGATAACTAAAATACAAAAACAGTTATATTAAAAACATTTTTTAGAATTATTGATTCAATTTATCGATATTATTAGATTATTGAATTTTTATAACATGGTGATGGACTGGAATTGAATACATTTTGGAGACGCAATATTTCACAAAATTGTGAAACATTCAATCAATCCACTCTGAGATAAGATATAAGCGCGCGATCGAACACGAGATAGAAACGAAATGTTTCGAAGGTTCCAATTACTAAAATTTAGTTACACAAAAGATATGTTATCACGATCTGATCCGCATATGTCATTCAATTACGTAGTTAAAAAAAATGTTCAAATTTAAAACAGTGTAAAATTGAGTATAAATTATCTAATATTATTTTCTGATAGACATTAATTAAATTATATTACTAAAATCATAATCAATTTTTATATATGTATACGATACGTACAATATAAATGTTAAATTTGAAGGAGTATATCTTTCGATGAATGTTTAATTCTCTTTAGTTTAATAAAAATTTATTATCTTTAAAAGTAGTATAGATTAAATAAGAAAGAGATTAATTGATGTATTACCTCTCCATATTGCTTTGTTGTTACGACTTTGTCGGAAAGATGATTAAGGAGGGCATTCAGCAATGAGTTATCTTCTTTATCTCTGTAAAGAAATTATTACATTATTAATTTGTTTATGATATACTTTGTATTGTCAAAGTAAGAAATAAAAAGCAACTTACGCATTATGAATCGTTTCAATTTTATCTTTGATGAATTCTATGAGAATGTCGAAGGATTCGGCATTACCCGCACATATCGAATTCAACGCAGCAAAAATATCGATGTCGGAATCTTTCTCGAGAGTTAACGCGAGGAATTTCTGGATAGTTTCCTTAGATGTGGCGCAACCAAGACCGGCCAGAATGTCCGCCTTTTCGTCTTTATCTTTAGTGGTTTTGTACTTTTGTAGAGTCGCGTTCCATATTTGTGGGCTTGCATTTCGCAATCCGGCGCAAAGTATTCCACGTCTTAAGTCTGGTAAGAGTCTAGAAATACTCAGTCAATAGCTAATATAATTTCTATAAATTAGATATGTAATATCGCTAAATGTTGACAAGAAATCTGCATTACTTTTGTACGTACACATATTTCGTAACGAAGAATTTTTAAGTTTAAAAATTTTTACAAATATTTAAGAATAAAACGTATAATGTATTTGCATCGTATTGTTCAACATATTCTATAAACTGTAAGTTCATAGACAATGCAGAAATCTTATTGTTATTTAGCAAACATATATAATGGATCGTAATTATGAATTTATGAAACTACAATAAGCTCTCGGACTTACTTCTTCTCATCTTCTTTCGTCTTATTGTCCAACCAATCTGCAAGCTTTTCATTAGCAAAGTTATTGCAGTCTTCCAATCCGTATTTACAAGCTGTGTTTAATGCTAATACTTTGGCAAGTTTATCTACATGCGTACTATTTCTCAAATCCGTGTAGTTGACTGTCAGTGCAAAAGATTTTATCTTTTCAGCGACATATTTCTGAAATTAAGTGATGTGTTAAAACATTAACACTTGTATATATTTCTCTTTTTTTTTGCTATTAAAATATGCAATTATGACATGATATTTTTTTTTATTCAACTTACCTGATAATTTGTGTAGTTCTTTCTACTTATTAATACGGTGTCCAGATAATTGAATGCTCTGGTAGCGGTATACCATGGAATATAATCAGTCTCATGTGATAGATACAATGTAATCTGCAATGCAATCTCATATGCCAAGTGTCCTGTACGCGCGAGATTTAATGCATCATCGATCAATTGGGCGCGGTTAGTTGCGCTTATATTAAGATAAGAAGGTGAGTTTAAGTATGACGCTAGCTTCTGCCAATTTGAATTGTCATAATTTACACGATAGAAACCTGTAAATAATATTATTTCATTTTTTTTGCTACATTCAACATTTAATCTTCACCATAAATTTGCTTTTGTATACATAATTATGATTATAAAAAAGGCTAAATCAAATATAACAAATTAAATTAATGTTATTTGTTCTACATCTTTATATACAATTTTATTTTAGTTTTATATAAAAAGTTAATGTAAATATGTCAAATAATCTAGTAGATTAATAGGTGCACGCATCATTAGCACTGCAATGAATGTAAAGGTTACATAGCGATGATCAATATATACATACCTGTCTGATTCTTATTGAAAAGTATCCATTTCGTATCGTTTAATTTGTCTATTGATGCATTTGTTCCGGGTATCAACCAGCGAGATTTTTTGTCCGTAGGCATCACTTTTTCGGGCGATTCTTCTGTTACATAGTTGATGGGTATATACCACTGAGTTTTATCTTCTTTCACTGGTTTCACCGAAAAGAATCGTTCCTGCGTTATATTAACAGTACCAGGTAATTTCTTATTCCACGTGACAGTAATGACAGGATATCCAGGTTTATTAACCCAATTATCCATAACTTGTGTAAGTGTAACACTTTTTGGCAAACATTCTTCCACTTTCTTAGTAGAAGTTTGGACAGATTTGAAGAAATCGTTAGAATCGACGGATTTGCCCTTGCTAAAATTATGAAATTGTAGGATTATTCTATTATTTTATTGTGATTAAAGCTATATTCAATTGTGATTTGCATTATTAAATATTTATATAATATAAATGTTGAGAAAACTTTTTTTCTCTACTTTTAAATATAAATAATTATAATAAACTTACTAATCATTTAGATATTTTTTAAGTCCTTCTTGAAAAACATCTTCCGATAAAAATCCTTGTATCATATAAAGAATAGAAGCACCTACAAAGATGAACAACGTAAATTAGAAAATTGAAATATATATATATATATAGAAAAGAAAGAATTGATTTACCTTTTTTGTAGGCAATATCGTCGAACAAACTTCTAATTTGAGCAGTAGTTTGTATACTACTAGTTTTAGGATTCAATGCACGAGTTTTACTACTTGCATCAACAACAAATGCTGATGCTTGCACATTTTTAATAACAAATTGTTCCATAAGACGCCAAGACTTTTCATCCTTATACTGCAATTTAAATTAATTCAGATGATAGTTTTATCGATAACTGATATTACAGTTCATATAGTATAAGACGTTTTTTTAAATGTCAACGGGCTTTTGTACAATTAAATTTTTGTACAATTAAATATAGTAACATAATAAATTAATGGTATAATAATTATATTTTTACTAACTTAAATTTATGCTTAATTATGCTGATATTTCTTAATTTTTTTTCTTTAGTATACAACAGATTGTTATTATAACATAATTTAAAACTTTAAAAGTACTTTAGTATTTTATATTTACCAGTTGTGGAATAACTTTATCGGTAATATAATATTGGAAAAATGTAGCAAATCCTTCATTTAGCCAGATGTAATTCCACCAAATGCAAGTAACTAAGTTACCAAACCACTGATGAGAGAGTTCGTGAGCTATTATTGTCGCTAAAGCTTGTTTCTCTTCCGTGGTTGTTTTATTCTCTATATAGAGAAGTCGAGATTCTCTAAAAAAGAAACAGTATGTTACATTTTTTAATGCACTAATAATATTGTTCTTGTGATAATAATTACTCTAATTTGTATAAATAAAATCATGTTTGAAAAGATATAATAATCACGTCAGTTTGGCAAAAAGTTGTGTAAGGTAAAAATTTTTACGTTCTGTATAAAACTTTGTAAGTAATTTTAATAACAATCAATAAAATAGATTAAATAGATAAAGTGTAATAGATAGATATAAAGATAAATATAAAGGAGATTGACAAATAGATTATATATATAGATATATATCGATTAGATATATTATAAGTTTTAAAATATAAATTCGGGCTATACTAATAAAAAAATAAGTATAAATTCGTCGAAGAACTTTGATCATTCTGTGATTAATGATCATTACCCGACATTACCTGTACGTCACAAGACCCCAGTTTTCCATAGCACCTGCTGCGAAATCTGGTATTGCAATTTGATCCAGCTTTGACATTCCTTGCTCCTTTCCATAATAATCAATATTGGTAAAATTTTTTAGTACCTGTAATGTTTCTAATCCATATTTCAATGCAAATTCTTTAGCATCTTTTTCTACCGTAGGTTTCGCCCAAACTCTAAAATTTTTATTGTTTTGCAGAGACGTGAAATCCGAAACTACAAAAGCTACGAGATAAGTAGACATTGGTGGTGTTTTCTCGAAAATTGTATTTAAATTTTCAGTTTTTTTTTCAGGCATATTCGAAATCGCTATGTAATTTTTTTGAGGAACTGTAATAGTAATGGTAAAATGTGCTTTAAATTGTGGTTCGTCCCAACATGGGAAGGCCTGTCTCGCGCTTACTGGTTCAAAGTGAGTCGTTGCAAGCCATCTGTAACATATTAATTAATTTTATTATGAATAATTTTCTATATTTCATATATTTGTTGAAGTAAAATCATTTGTTTTTAAAAGAATCGTTTATTCTAATTTTAATTTATAAAAAATTCGATTCAATATTGTTTAAAAAATATTATGATATCTATTTTTATCTAAAAACAAATTAATTTTTCGGCTCTTATAATAAAAAATTCTTAAAAAAATTTACAAAAAAAGCGAAACAATTTTTTAATTACAAAATTGAAAAAATTTCCAGATTTACTTAAATTTATAACTCTCTTTTTGAATAACTTATTTAATCATTTAAGCTACAATTGACTACTAAAAATTATTTTAAATAATATTAAGTTGATTAAAGCTTATATAAAAATATTAGTTTTAATTCAATAATTTCTAGCAAAAATTTCAATAGAAATTTAAACGCTTCCTTACATCTTTTTTCCTTCCTTATTCTGGTAAGAACTTCTGTAGAATCCACGTAATTTATCGTTTAACTTTCCAGTATAGTGCAAAGATAGTTGTATATTTTTTTTTGCGGGAATGAGGTCTTTAAAAATGAGAATCACAAAGTCCTTATTTATATCTTCCTTTAACTCAGTTATATTATAAATTTTATTTTCTTTTTTATCTGTTAACTTAATACTCTTCTCAGTAATATTAATTTCCTTAGCATGGAAAATTATGGTATTTGTCTCTATCGCAGTAAAAAGAGTGATCACAGATTCTCCTTTAAAAGTAAAATTATCTTGATTGGATGACTCGAAAATCGGCTGCAATTTGATGTCATATTCCGTAGGTATTACATTTAGTGGCAATCTATAGTTATCTAAAACTTCTTCTATAAGTTGAGGAGCCACATCATCGGAACTAGGATAGCTCGCCCAGCAAGTCGCTAGGACAAGCATCAATGATAACAGAAATCTCATCGTTAACATTGTACCTAGCAAAAAAAATTTTCCGTGAAAACATCGATTTAATTAATTTCTGTTACGTAATACAATTAAGACACACTCAAGTAATGATAAAGTGTATGACAATTTACATAAATAAATCTAAGAAAAACTAATTAAATATTTGTTGCAAATATTTAATTATTAATTTTCATTAATTTTGAAAAATATTTTTAAAATGTTTTTAATTAATATTTATGTGATATATTAAAAAAATCTCAAAATTTATACATAATTTAATTTATACATAATTTATTTATTTTTGTTTTGCTTAATTAAATCAAGAATTTAATAATATGATAAAAGAAAAATATAAAATTAGAGAGAAAGAAATTACATCAAATTTTGTAAATTACATATTGAATGTTATATAAAAAATATACAATTTCTCGATAAGAATGTGCATTATAAGTTTTATCAATAAAAATATTATTTATATTTATCATAATTGATTGTTCCACTAGAGAAGTGCAATGAATATAATAAATAATTAATAACGTACCTTAAAGTTAAAGATGAAGAGCCGTGCAGATCGATTCCTCGTCCCCGCAGAGACGAGATTTATTGAAAGACTATACTTGGTTAAAACTTCGGGCTTTATAAGGCCGTGATGTGTCGTTAAAAAAAAATTTTGCTACCACCTCTAATCTTATCGTCTAGTTCTTTGCAAGCAAAAAGTATTATACTCTTCGAGGTAAGAAAAGTAAGTGGACCATCCCGAACACGAATCGCAAAATTTCCGGGACAGCACCGGCACCACTGATAACGCGATAACTAAAATATAGTATTATCCGACCAATCGATGGTAGACACAGAGATATTATCGGGATTTAACTTTTTTTATCATATCTTTCAGAACATATCGAATGGTACTGCTTAAACAACACATTGCATCGATTTATGAAGAGTTTGTATCACTACTATAAATTTTTACTTTTATATTGCAAATCAATTCTCGCTAAGTAAAGTTTTATGTTAACTGGAAATATCTATAAATTCTCTCTTTTCTTAATTTTCTGCAGCCATTTTCCTGCAGTCAAAGTTAAAATGTAAATTTTAATTAGAGTTGGTCAGTGAGTCAAGATTTACTTTTGTAAAATTTTTTTATAGAATTCAACCTTTTTTATATTATTTAGTAAAATCATTATTATTAATTAATTATTTAATTTATTTATTTGTAATACAAATATGAAATATATATTTATATATATATACATGTATATGTGTGTATATAAAATAATTGTATATAAAAATATATATGCTCATAAAGTAAGATTTTAGGTTAACCTTTATTTTCTGTTATCTATAGTATATGTACGCAAACCGAGATAAAAATTAATTGATGATATCATTTAGAATATTACAAAGTATATATGCATTGGCAGATAGGAAAAAAATGTTTAATTGTAATGAGAAAAATTTTGTCGTGTTAAGTATGTATTTTTATAGCGTTAATAAAAATAATACACACACACACACACACACACGCACATGCAATATACAATATAATAAATATAAATATAAGAAATAAAATTATAATAAATATGTGTTATATATAAAGAAAGCAGTCTTTATCTAAAGCATAATTTAATCATAAAATATATTGTAAAAAACTTGTAAACAAATATATAATATGTAAGGAATCAATGTTAGAAGCGATTATTGTGTATAAAATAAGGACTAAGAAGGTTTATAATATTTATAGAGAAAAAGCTCCTATTATGAGATACCGAGTTCTTTTTGGGTAAATGCTAGAAGTCTGGGCACAATTAATAAAAAAAATAATAGATCCTTTTGAAGAGAATTTAATAAGCTTTAAGATAATGTCATATAAAATTTAATTCAAATTTCATTTTTTTTGAAAATTAAAGAAATGTAAAAAGTGAGCAAATCGCAAAGTCAAAAAATTGTGTTCCTAATATGAGATGCCCCGAGAAATCGATAGTAAAATGCAAAGTATATCAGTATTGCAACTAAAAAAACTTTATTTAATGTTTCTTAAATATAAATAAACACAACCAGGGTGCGCGAAAAATGAGTATGCGATACATTATATTTAGAATTCGTCTTCAGATAGTTGAAATTAAACATCGCAGAAATAGGCACTCGACGTTCATTCTGATTGTCCTTTTTATTATTGTACGATAACATTTATACTTTCGCAACAATTTTCACTACATGGAAACATGAATTATTTTATATTAGAAATACCCTGGATATCTCATATTATGATTTTCACACCTTACAGTTTTGCGATCAAATCTAATTTCTGTAATTAAGCAATTTAACATATCCCGTATTTTTCTATTAGTACGAGCTTACTCTATTACTACATGAAGAATTTATTGCCAAATATTTATTTATTAAATAATAAACAATGTTTAAAAATTCATTTCAATAAAATTTAAAGATATCCAAATTCTAAAATCTTTTTTTATGATAACTACAAGTATGATCTAATAATAAATTTTCTGCTAAACAGTTTTCAATCCAATAAATTTATGGTGGAACCAATAGATAGAGTCTATTAGGTTAGCAGAAATGCTATCTCATATTAGGCGCTTATCTCGTAATAGGAGGCTTTCCTCTATGTATTAATATTTATATAAATCAATTTTTTTGTAAAAAGAAAAACGAAATCTAGGAATAATAGTCCAATAAATCTTAATATTCTATTCTAAAATATGTTTCTTATATCAAATCATTCTAAAACATGTTTCTTACGTCTTGGTATCAAATAATAATTAATCTTTCCGTAAAAATAATACATCTTATATACTGAATTTCTTTTAAAATTGGGATAGTTGCTTGTACAGGCTTGCATAATAAACTTTTAAGTTTAATACCTTTTTATTTTATTGTATATATACATTCGATTTCAAATATAATGTATATTGGAATACTCTACATACATAATTACATAATATATTATAATAACATTTATAACATAAATTATTTAAAGATATGATATATATATATATATATGTGTGTGTGTATATATATATATATATATATATATATATGTGTACATATATCATATCTTTAAATAATTAGTTAACAATGCTTTTTCAATTGTAAGTAAAAATTTATCGATCCATGTTAAGGATGAAGTAGAAACACTTATGGCTTTTTTTGCTGAATTCAACGCTGATCCTAGATTTTCAATGTTCTCATTAACAAATGAGCGAAGCTATAATATTAGAAACATTTTATATGTACTTATCTAATGTAAGTTTTAAATTATTCTGTATATATATAATTAAAATATAAGAGAAATGTGTGAGTGATTGATATATTAAATTAGAATTATACAAACTCTATACCTTGTTTAATTGAGTTTCCATAACAATTTTATTGCCTACAGCAGTGAGCATTTTGGTTAAGAAATCTATTCCTCTTCTGTAAAAGCGTAAGATAAAATATTTCAAGACTTGTTTTGTAAATATAAGAATCTATTGCAAATAAACAATCAAACTATTATGTTTTTCTTTAGTCACATTTAATTAATAAAAAATAAAACAAAAGGTTATTTGAGTTTAACATTTTTTTCGTAAAACTTTATTTTCCGATACAACTTTCCGATAGAAATGGTGCGCACAATCAAATATTTGCTGTTACAACGAAAACGTAATAAATGACAGTATTATTTTGGCTCTTAAATAATAAGTTTTGATTGAGATACTCTGTTTATTGTAATAAAGAAAATAAAATATTGTAATAAAAGAAAATAAAGTTATACAATAAAAAATATAAAAATAAAGAAAATAAGAACGCATATACATACGATTTAAGAATCAGGGGCAAATTATGGTGAATAAAATCAATGGCGTAATTAACATTTTCAGGATTGCCGTTTAAAACGGCATTGATTATTGTCATTCTATATTGTTTGCGAAGTTTGAGTCTATATATTATAGACGCATTGAGAAATCTGAAAGCTGACAAATTTAGTATTGGATCGTAAACGCGTTTATCTATATGATTCATTTCTTATACTCCACCTGTCGATTAAATGAGGAGTTTTAGTACATCCGAGTGCACTCAGCAAGAGTTCTTGTTCTGCATGTAAATCAGTGTGCAGAAACCTGTTCCAAACAGTATGCCAATCATTATCATCGCCTGCTCGAATACCCACGCAATACACGAAGCTCTTGAGATTTGCTGATATTATACTGCATATACATAAAATATATCATGAAAATATATAAATGTATAATATATTGTGTTAATTAATTAGTTATCTTTCCCGAAGATAAACTTCACGAAAATATTTACCAAAAGATAAAGTACATATTAGAAACATAAATGAAACAATTGATAAGATTATCTCCTAATATTTGAATATTTAAACTTTAATAGTTGTTGGTTTTAGAATTGGTAATTGATCATACCTTTTCTCAGATAAAATCCACGTTTTAAACAAGGTTTTCGATGTCTTTAGGCAGTGCATATTATTAACCGAGCAAGCAGTAGATAGAATCAATTCGCGATGCATTTTCTTTATTGAACTGTCCATGGGATTTTCCATAAAGCTTAATAAACTAGACATTGGTTTAAGTAAGTTATTTGCATAGTTCTGCAAATTATATATTAAAACGTTATAAAAGAATATCAAGAAAAAAGGATATCATCAAATTTTATAGTTTAATCGTTTGTAGTGATAAGAAAACTTTTTAATAGAATTTTTAATAGAACTTTTTAATAGAACTTTTTATTAGAATTTTTATTTGTGACATATCTTTTAAATAATTAATAAGTTACATTTTGAAATCAATTTGATGCTTATATAGAAGAATAACCTTACCTGAAAGAGACGTTGTACTCGCGGTGAGCAAGCTAAAATATGATTGAGAAAATTGAAGTTATTTACTGCAGCGACCCACGGTTCGTATTCGGTTTCACGAGTAAGATATATCGCGAGATCAAATGGAATGGAATAATCCACATAACCAGCTCTTGCTAAATTAAAAGCATCATCTAGAAGCGCAGCCCTATTTATCACATGTATTTTTTGGAAATTCTTCAACTTCAAGTAGCGAATAAGCATTTTCCAGTTATTTTCGTCGTAAGTGACTCTATAATATCCAACTTGCTGAACATTAAAAATCACCCACGAGTTTGGTTTTACAGAACTGATTAACATGTTTTTGGCCTGTGGTTTCAACCAGGCAGCCGTAGTAGTTCGATTAAATGTGGAATTCGATTCTTCGGTAACGAAGGTTAATGGTATCCACCAACTTGATTTTTCGGAATTTGTTTGTGCTGCTTGATGGTTTAAATAAAACCGTTCTTGCGAGGCAAAGAGAGCCATCGTCTTGTAGTTTCGTGTAATGATCACTAAGGGATATCCTGGCTGATTTGCCCAGGATTCTATGACATCTTTTATAGATATGCCTTTGTACAATTGCCTTGTTATATTTGATGCAGCTTGCAAGTGTCGATACAAGTCGAATGGAGTGGCTGCTTTAAATGACCTAATAATAAAAATTTTTATGATAAATATAGTGTTAACTACCAAAAATCAAAATTATTATTACTTTAAAAAAATAAAATAATTGCATACATCACAACAATAATATCGTTTGTGTTAAAAAAAAATATCAACAGGAATTTAGAAACATTCTGCACATATAATACAGACACCTACAACTCGCGCAAATAATTTTGTAATCCTAATTGGAATGTTGTACTTCCGATGGTATGACTGATCATGCGAATTATAGAGGCACCTGAAAATGATATGACACAATATGTTACACTCTATTTCTAATATGTTATGGTGAGTTTTATGTCAGTATTTTAGAAGTCAAATTTCTATGTTTTATAAATTTAAATAAAAACACATAAATTATAATTAATATATAACTTCAATGATTTTTTCTATTTTTAATTTTATAGAATTAATTGTTATAAGTTTAGCATCTTAGATGATTATATGTAAACATATTATTATCTACTGTTATTAAAAATTATTTAATAAAAGATTAAAAGTTAAAGTAATGTAAGAAGAAAATATCTTGCATGTATTGTGCGCTTATGATAATATTATTAAAATTACTAATATTAATACTAATAAAATTAATATTAAATACAATTCTATTCAGATAACATAATTAGCTTTGTATAATTGAGTGTAATGTAGACCCTAGACTAACAAGTTTTAACAATTTCCTGTAATCGCTATTTTAATTAAAATTTAAAAAATGTAGCAGAAATATGGATAATTAATTGTAATTCTTACGAAATTCTTAATATAAAAAAACGAAAACAATATTAAAGATAAAAATGTTGAAAATTAAATCCGTCAATGATTAATTCTATGCATGATTTAAATAAATAATCATTTCTGAGAGTCTAAATCACATGATCGAAAGATAATCCTATCTGTCTTTGCAAGATTGTTACACATACTTACAGTGATACGATTAACAGATTATGTAAGAAATAAGTGACGCAGCATTCATAAACGATCAAAGGTGAATACAAATCAATCACATATATGTATAAAATCTCATATATATGGCAAAATTTATATATTTTTTTATTTTGTTTTGTTTGAAAATAATTATTACTTAAATTAAATTACTTAAATTAAAAATTATTATTTAATAGATTTAAAAATGATTATTCTTTTATTAATGGAAACATCTCTTTAGTGTAAATACCATCTTTAAGTAATATAAAATATGTTAATAAGTGTTCCATACGTAACTTACCTTTCTCATAAGAGACGAAATCAAACAAAGCCATAATGCTGTTACGATCCCCGACCTCTTGACCATTTAATGTGCGTGTATGATTATTAGAATCTGCGAGCAGTATTGGTTGCAAACAATCTACTACGAATACATTCATCATTCTCAAATCCGGTTCTACTAAGGACACACCAAAATATTGGAAATATGTGGCGAAGCCCTCCTTTAACCAGACAACATCCCAGAATACGGGTGTCACCAGATTACCGAACCAACTGTGAGCGTACTCATGAGCCATTACTGACAGTCCGTTCACTACTTTTCTTGTCGGAGTTCCATCCTCGTGCAACACTACAGATTCTCTATAAGTGATGAGGCCCCAATTCTCCATCGCATTGAAATTGAAATCCGGTATCGCAAATTGATCGACCTTCACGAGCGGGCTTTTTACTAATAACCACATCTGTAATGCCGAGTAGACTGCCCAACCGCGATTCAAGGCCATCGATCCATGAAACTTCATGGAGTCTCTTGTCCACATCTTGAAATCTCCCGAAATTTGTGATTGTTCCGGGACAAAATTGTGTACTGCCCATCCTACTAAGTACGTGGGCATTCGCGGTGTACGGTGGAATGTGGTCACATAATACGTATCATTTCTATAATAATTTTTATAACTATTTGCTTTTGTTTTACGAATATCTTTGTATATGTTTTTAGTTTGATAAGATTGAAAAAATTGTATACTAACTCTATTCGTATAGATTCCACTGGAGTATTACTCGTCGCCTTTTGATCTTTATGGTGACCAATATGCAAATGAAATTCCGCTTTTAAATAAGGTTCGTCCATACAAGGGAATGCACGGCGTGCGTATGTGGGCGAAAATTGTGTTACACCAATTCGTCTAAAAAAAATATAACAGTGTAAAATAAATTACAATAAGTAAAGAGTGTTCTCATTATTATAAACAGATATTTTTAAATAACTGCTTTCTAATTTTTTTATCGATTGAACGAGCAATAAAATTATAATTAAAGTATAGAAGATAATATATAGATTATAACAATGTGCATAATTTTAAAAAATCTTAAGGAATATTTCATGCTCAGTATATATCCTAATATATGTAAAGTTCTCATTACATTCAGATTTTATTTCGACTACTTGCCCTGTAGCAACTTTAAAATATGACACATACAGTATGTCTTAAAATTCGTGAATCAAAATACCATAGCAAAAAAATTCTTGAAAAAATAAATTATAAAAGTATTTATCCTTTATCGTACAAAACAGTAATTTTTGAGATACAGAGGTTTAAAATTGGACGATTACGTTAAACTATTTGTGTCGAGCATCATCACTAATCTATAATACAGTAATCTATAAGTGGCCAGTATTTAACCTTTAAGTTATAATAACTACCGCTCGGGAAAAATAGTAAATATTTTTATAACTTATTCTTTTTTCAAAAACTTTCTTGCTGTAATATATTGATTCTCGAATTTCTGAATACCTTGTATAATTCTTTCTTAGAATTACCTCAGCCTTCCATCAACTTCGTATAGACTTGCATAAAAGCCAAATACATCATTTGCGATACGTCCTTTGAAGGATACTTCTAACGTGTATTTCATAGGATCTAGTGCGCGCTCAAGTTTAATCATAAGCATTTGTGTATCTTCGTCATGGATGTAACGCAAAATCCGAGTCAATCTACCCGATCTATCAAATAAAGATGCATTTGTTTGTATCTTTAATGCATCCGTGTGCAGTACGATAAAATCTGTTTTTTCAAGCACTTGTAAGATGATCCGTACGTGACCATCATAATTTGCGTCAATCGGGTGTGTATAGATCGATAGATCATAGGATATAGGAACGATTTCCTTGGGTAGTCGATACCGTGCAGAAATATGGCTCGAATTTTCATTTTTATTCGTGCCGTCGTTATCATGTGCAAACGTTAGATTTAAAGCGAAAAAAATAATTAATAGAAGCAAGAAAAACGGAGAGTGATTAGATATGATAATGTCAGACATTTGCTCAATCGATTTTTAACAATCTTCTTAATCAATTTCCTTCGGTTAAAGTTCGTGGTAAAGGTATCACCTTACGTTATACATATGTGTATATATTTGACAATGAGATAAAAATTGATACACGCACACACACGGTTACATTCGCGTGAATCTAAAATACTAGTTCTATTTCTGCTGATACTGCCACAACATGATAGTTTTAATAACTTATTGCACAGCACAACGATCAGCAATGTTTATGATGCATCGCCGTCTTAAGACTATATGCTATTCGGAATTATTGTGTAGTTGTCATATTATTTATTATTAACAGTCTCTTTTTACCATAAGTAGATCATCAAATTTGATTAGACACGTAATGAGATAATATTTGTATCTCTGACAATAACGATAACAAGTATCAGTAAGAACACAGTTGAATATAGATGCTTACGCTATCTATAAGATTATTAAATGTTAATATTGATTTCATATTAGCATAGCAATGTATAAAATAAAAAATACGAAAGAATAGGAAAAGAGAAAAATTTATCTATATCAAATAATTATCTATAAATTGTATAAAGTGTCAAATATATTGTCTGGATCAAAAAAATAATCCAGAAATTATTTCCATTTCTTATCAAATGGAATTCTCGGTTTATCTGAAGAATCTATTATAAATCTGATATTGTTTCTTTTAATTTCTGCTTCTAATATTCTCTAATATTATTTCTTTAAATTAGATTTATTGTTTTATTTGTTGATTTATTGATGGATATTACTCGTATCATTCTTCGTTCGATCGAGATGGTGACTGTTAGTTGGTGACAGTGTTGAGGTTTTAGGCACAACTTGCTGAGATTTGCATATAATTGCCGTAGGCTACATGTCTTGCCTTTAGGCTGCGTTGAGGTTTACCTACGTTCTATACATCTTGATATTGGAAACCTAAGCAATACCGTAAGTTTAACCTCTAGTTATGATTCTCGGTAGGTTTCTACTTATAACTTATTTACGGGGAACATTTAAAAAAGAAAAGTAAAATATGCAACTCTTGATAAAATTAAAATTAATTAAAAAGATATAACAATATTCTAATAAATTAAATTCATTTGTTCTTTTGCAAATACTTACTTTGTAGAAAGAAGGAGACAAATCCTTTCCGATAAAACTTGCACTGATATTTGATTATACTTCTTGTCGAAGACACAGAATACAGAAGTATTATTTTTTTAGTAAATATCTTGATAATTGTAAGCATTAAATTAACGTATTAAATACTGGTCTTTCTCGATGTGATATAATCATTCATTTTGTTTTAAAAATAAGAATAAAGAGAATTTACGCACATGAGATAAATTCATATTTTCCTAGAAAAAGAAAGAGAAAGAATTTAATGGATATTTTTTACATATATATTATAAGATCTACTTTTATACTTAAAAAAAACAATTTCTTTCAAATAATGTTTTATTATTAAATTTTAATAAATTCTCTTAGTATTAATAAGATTACGTAGAAAAATTGTTTCATTCTCTATCTATGTAAAGTAAATAATTATGATTGCTGTCTTATATCATTTTACATTTCTCAATCCGTAGAATTATAACAAATCCTACAAAATAATTATCTATTTAATTAATGAAACGATATTTTATCATTCTCATAATATTTTAATTTCTGCATTTTAACATTTAAAAAAATTATTAAGCATTTTTACAATATCTGCAGTTAGATTTTAACACGGAATACTACAGCAACTATAAGTAGTAGGAATACACTACAGACTGCGTTAAATGGAGAGCGCGTATATGTATAATTGAAAGGCTGACACGGCGGATGACTTGAAGGAAGTTGCAGTCATGATTGGCCTGCATAATGAAGAAGCTCGAACGCCATTATACTCGATGGTAAGCTTAAAGTTCCAGTACCAACCAGATAGGTACCTTGTGACAATCCTGAAGCGTTGAGAAACAATCCCTGGGAAAGTTTGTTCGGGATATTCCAGTCTTCGATAAAACGGTGGACTGCGTATGTGTTTGCATAATTTTCTCCTTTGCAAATTCGCCTCTCGAGAGTTAGGGTACTTTGAAATTGCATCGATGATGTGCGAGTGCATAATGTGGTTTCTTCACGTCAGTATACTTCAACTTGTTTTAAATTAATAGGATGAAAAAAATCGCTTCGTAATATTCTTAATACGTTTTAGCAATAATTAGAATAATTATTAGAACATTTGTCGTCTAAAATAAATATTAGTTACAAATATATCTAGATAAATATTAATTATAAATATATCTAAATAAATATTAATTATATAATTATACCCAAAAAATATTTTTATAATACTTCAAACATTTTGTGAAGCAACATGATAAAATTAAAATAGAATATTTGATAACATTTTGTAGAATGTTATAGCAATGTAATTATTCATGCAAGCTATGTTTCATAAAGAAAATTCCGAATTGATAAAAGTACGCTTTAAAAATTCGAAAATAAACGATCTTCGAAGTATAATGCTCATTGAACTCACTGATAAATCGAGTTATCATTAGATAATAAATTTTATCATTCTTATCCGATATCTCACGAAGCAATATGTAGTATATTTGTAGCTTATGAAGAAAACACTGCGAGATAACCAGTTATTTAAAAAGCTTTAAATTCGAATTGTTATCTTAATTACAAGCGCCTAATAATTACCGTTCAAATATTTCTACATTCAAAAATCAATAAAAGTTTACTTTGCCTTATGACAAAATAGAAATAATATAGTATGTATAGTAATTTTTTAATTTTCCTGGACAAATGCTTAGATTAAAAATAAATTTAGTCCTTTCTTCAAAATTAAAACAAATAGCAATTTTTCTTGTTTCTTCCATTTTGTTTGGCCTCCGTTTCGTAGAATATAGACGCATTTTCACGCGCCGGAGAAATGCAAATATAGACCATGCAAATAGAATTATGTTTGCTTGATCGTTTTTGACTTCCATCGAAAACTGCGCCAATATAGACATAACAATTCGATTGTTCAAAAATCTATAAACTAACTGTATCCATAGCGAAAATTTTTATTTTATAGTTCTTTTACAATTTGTGACTTTAATATTTTAAGTTATGTACAAAAACACGTATATGTACAAAACAAAAAGAACTACTACATGTTATTTTTGATTGTATTTCCTTAAGACATTGTATCTATTTAACAGTTCATATATTTATAATACTATCGGCTTTTAAGCATGTCTAGATATTATGCATAGTTTTATTATTAGTATTCCAAAAAGTTTATTATCTCAAAAGTTGTGACAAACAATAAATAAGTTTTATCATGGTGACATTTAGTATAAAATGAAGTTTATGAAAAGAATAAATGGTAGTACTAATTAGAATAAACAAGACCCAATCAGCAATCGCTGTAGAAAGAAATAATATAAAACTCGATTTTCTTGGTTTGCTCCAAGAACACTTGCTATCATTTTTTTTTTATCATCTCCTTGGAACTCTAGAGCGATATTGACTGCATCGAAAGTCGATCTAGACGTTTCGCCATTTACCCAATCAACAATTTGTGATGAATACCCTTATTTATCAGAAAATACTGAAAGATTAGTTAAGATTAACGTATCTGGATGATATTTGATCTTGTAAAAACCAACAATGAAATGAGCATTTCTGTAAAGGTTTATTATATTTTTCCGTTGCTTTTTTTTGTTGAATACCGCAAGCGAACTTTCATAAATAATAATTATTTTTTTTATTTATTTAATAAATGAATAACAGAAATTATTCTCCGTGTATTCTTTTGATATATTAATGAAGTAATTTTAAGATTATGCTATTAAAAGTGCTCACCTCTTTTCTTAACTACCGACTATAAACCTACTTTCTATTAATTGCCAGCTTATATAAAATTGTTTCCTAAAGAATAATTCGATGTTAATTAGCAATTTATTATTGCTAAATAAAAATCTAAATTAATTTATAGTTTTAAGAAAATTATTGTTTTTTTTTATTAAACATATAATTTAAATACTATTTTTTACATAACAAACAGCTGTAATTACGCCTGTTTAACGTAAAGTTTCCTTTGACGTCAGCTTTTTAAATTTTTAATTATGCCAGACAATGTACAAAGGTCTTTTTATCTTTCTCTCCTTTTTTTTATTTTATATATATATATATATATATATCTTTTCCTATTTCTTATAATGCATTTTTGCTTAACAATTTTCATTCAAAATTATAAATGCATCGCAGAATTTCCATCACGCTCGAAATACCTCTAGCAACCAATTAATTAACATCAACTTTCGATTCAGGCGAGGCTTCCTCGAGTCTCCGTTGCGACGAAATCAAATCAAGATCCGCAGATCGCTGGTAAGGACATTGGTCGAGGCGACGGTTGTCGTGCTCAAGTAAAAAGAAGCAATAAAATAAAAAGTCTAGCATTTAGCCGGGACCGAAGCCTAATTCAGTCAGGACAAGGAAGGTGAGTTTTGCTCTGAGGGCCTTTGCAAACTGTCTCCTACATCGCCTACCTTGCTTGCCCGATAACATCGATGACGGAAGCTCGGAAATTCGATTATAGGACCGATTGAAAGCTTCGTCCTCTCTCTTCTTCAGACATTCTATTCGTGACATGCATACGCGATTAAATATGCGATGCATTGCATATATGTATATGGCAAATAAAATAGTTGATGTAGACACTGTTTGCTAATCTAATATTTGTTGGACCATTTAATTTGTAAACAATTTTTATCATTTAAAAAAATATTCCTGGTTACGACAAATAATTATTCTGACTCATGTCGCAACATATCAATTGTCCTATTATTACATGCAGCCATCATATTGACGAAGGGAAAGTACACAAATAGTTTTTATAATTATTACTTAAAAAGTTTTCACATCACTTAGTGAATGATGAGTTTAATACATCATGTTTAAAAAATCAACACAAAAAATCTTTTAAATGTTTATTGTAAATAACTTTAAATCCAGTTTAATAATTGTTACAATTTTTATTGTTTATTGAATAAAGGAGAAAAAGTTCAGAATTGTGGAGTGCACTCTGTGCACTCACCGCTTACGCAATATCATATTATGCTTTCCTAAGTGCTTAATTTTTTACTGTAGTAAAATGTAATTGAATTGTGTGTTTGCGTAGTGTATATTTTTTTTACGAAAAGTACTTTTAATTTTGAGTACTATTTAAAAACTGAATTTTCTTTATAAAATAAAAAAATAAAATTTATACATTTTCTTATTTTGGCTGTAGTATTTCTGCATTGTATTTTAACATTGTAATCTTAACTTGTTAATGTTAAAATTTTTTGTTATTATCAATTCTATTTAGATGTTACAAGAAAAAAATCAGTTTTTTATTTTTTATAAGAAAGCATTTATAATATTATTTTCAAAAATGAATTGTACATTAAAAGCATAGAAGCAAAAATAATTAATTAAAAATATTTTTCTTTTAAATCGCGGATTTGATTTCTTATTTTAATTCTAATTTAATTTATTTAACCATTCAATTACTTTACTGTATTTATTTTAATTATATATATATATAATTATGTATGTAATTTATATATATGTAATTTTGCACACCTTACTAAGTTCGTTCATCCACGCTACTTTTAATTATATTTACACGTATATAAAATTGTTAATTTCTTACACTAAAACAAAGTATTATTTAAACTTCTTTAGAAATATACTATTTATGCTTTTGATATCAAAACATATTTATAATTTTTAAAATATGTTGCGAGAAAATAAAAATACCGGGTTGACCTAAAAATCATAGCTTTTAGTGCTGCATATGATCATATTTGATTTTTCCAGATCAGATATATTTATCAATTCGAACATGTTCTTGAAAAACATATATTGAAAAATACAATATATGCACAAGAGATGTACTGATAAATTGAATTTTAATACAAGTTTTTAATATATATTTTAGTATTGTTTTATTTGTTTCAGTATTTAATTTACTTGTTGTATTAAAATAATTCACCCTTTCTGTGTATTAAAATTTTATAAAAATATAAATAAAAATTAAAGTATTATTAATTTATATGTTACATGAGTTGTATGTACATTGTATTTTTGTATGTAATCTGGATTATCTATATTTTCATTAAAACCAAAGCCATATACGCATTTTGCATCTATACCATGCCTGTTATGTTTTTATTCGTGAGTTAATAATTTTTCCAGTCTGATTAAGCATTAAAGCTTTAATATTGATTTAATATTAATTTTGTCATTTCGCAATCGCGAAAGTTACAACGGAGCTATTGCTGATGTTAAGCGGAGTTAAGCACGGCTATACGAATGACTTCCTTATATCTTTATCAGTGTTGTAGAAAGAAAAGGGGATCGTTCTTTAAATGACCAGGGTGGTCTTTGTGTCATACAAGTAAATATTAGCAGAGGATGATGAGAACCCCCCTCCGCTTGCTTTATCTTACTTTCTCCTTCCTCTTTTCATCGACGACAAGCCCGCGGTCCTCTTTGCTCTCTCTCCAACAGATCTGTTCATTCCGGCGCGACGTCATTCTGGAGGCTTTTACCTGTCCTCTTCAAACCGACCGGATCTCACCGAAAATTCACTCTGATATTACCCTCTATTCAAGTATGAACTCATGTCGGTATCTTTTCTTCCGTGTGGTAGACAACGCTGATCAAAAACTATATAGGCACTTGTGACTTTAACTGTAAACTACGTTTGGCAAAAATTTATTAACATTAAAACATTTAAACAAATTTTTAATTAAATTTTAATTTTTATTGGATTAATATTAAATGTTATATGTTTTTTTTTAATGTATGGGAATATATTTTGTTGGCACGTTCCAAGACGCTAATAGCATTAAGGTTGTCTATGTTGCTTGTGCTGTTTTGCTCAATAAGGTGCATGAAACATGCCTAGCCTGTCCCCACAGACACACCTGTCTCACTAGAAGCGTTTGATGAAGATCGTGTGCGATTGAGTACTGCGATCCAAAATTAACCCCAATGCACGGAAAGTACAGAATATAGCGTAATGACGTCAGGAACGACGTAGGTTCCGTAATGCGGTTCCTCGTTTCGTAGATCGAATAAAAGCTCGCTTTAATGTGAGCACTAACACGTTTATTGTTCATGCAGTCATCCAAGGACGATTCGATTTAGCCGTATAAATAAATGCTTTTGATGCTGTATGTATGTATGTGTAAGAATAATTTTTTACATTGTATGAATGTGAAAATGATACGTACATCCACATATATATAATTACATAGAATTTAAAAAACGCTACGAATTAATTCCAACACCTAATACATGTAAAGATATTTATTGTATACATATTTGTGAAGTGCTTATAATTTTGAGATACTCATAAAAATCACACAATTAATTATTTCCTTTTCTATCTACTTTACTCGATTGTATTTTCCCTTAGAGAGTACACATTTCAAAAAAGTCCGGGAAAGATTCTAAACACAAGTAAATGACGTGATTTGACAGTTGTAATGCCTTGCTTTGTTTTTTATCTTAACAAGTATTTTAGTGTTCATAACATAATAATATTTCATTTGTTACTGCGTATAATGGGTTTAATTTTGGGCAAAGATCTGTTGTGCATCAATGTCAAAGCAAAGGATTAAGGACACGTTAAGCTTTATGTGCAGTGATTACTAGATATAACTATTAATAATATATGACGTTACACAATACAATTGTTATATTATTAAAAGTCATTAATAAGGATATCCAGATATTAATTAGAGAATATAACAGATAGACAAAGCGCTAAATTTTGATTGATCTGTTTTAATGATAGTTCCCAACACCTTACCTGATCGCTAGTTCGCTCTCGATCTTCTGCTCTGTATTCGTGAAGTTGACTCCAGCCGCTCATCTATAACATAAGTTCCCTAATGCAAACTTGCCTTTGATAAACTATGAAGTGTCAATGGATTAGCGAACGACGAATACGCCGCAAACTGCAAGAAATATAAATTTGTGCAACAAAGTAAGGTTATTTGAGGTTATCGCACCCGTTTTAATAAAAAAACTTGCTTATAACTCGGTAATAGTTTCATAACAAAACTTACAAATTGCTGTTGCCCAATGATTTTCACCTTTTGTTCTGCGATGAATAATATTCGTGGAAGACTTTATATCTGCGTTATCGCGCTCTACAACAAATTAAGTTAAATTTAAGAAGATGATATGTCATTTTGAATTAAAAAAAAATTTATTCGCCCAAAGATATATTATAGAAATTAAATTACGTTTAGCTATGTATTTATTTATCTCAGATACATTTTAAGATAAATATTGTAAATAAATTTTTATTTTTATGAATATTACAATTTGTTGCAGAAATCTCTATTTTTTAACCTTCTTCACTATAGATTTTATTTTGTATTATTATCTAATATCTAAATGAGAGAAATAAAAGATATTTTAAGACATAAATGTATAAAATATTATTACAATGTATCCAAGACAAAAATATTTTGAAATAAATAATTAATATAATCAATACATATCTTTCTTTTATATATGTTGCTGTGAGTCTTGGCAAACCTCGAGTTGATTTACAAATAGTTTTAAAATACGTATGTATTATTGTATTCTTGTATTTGTCTTGTATTTTTGTCTTCTTGTATTTTCAATCATATCTATTGATTCATTATGTATTACGGCAAAAAATAGCAATGTAACTGAACTTTCTGTCGTAATATGAAACAAATTTGCAACAACGTAACGTTCTGATCGTTTGAAATGACATAATGCGGATAATCGAACGTTAGCATAATATGAATATAATAGATATAATCCCGGGCAAATCTCTCGTCAGGGTAATATTAATAACATTATGCAAAACTTATAAACCTAATAATAGATCTGCTGCAAGAAATGAAATTTGTACCATTTTCAAATTGCATCTGATTGCCGCAGGGCGTACACATGTTTTCGTATTCTGCAATATCTGCGAGTATTGAATTCATTATGATTATAATATGCTTCAAATGTCACTCGCTCAGATTGCGCGACTTCGTCGCGATCAGTAGTAGCGTCATTAATCGAAGTGCTTCATCGACGCCGAGAGTCGTCAATGATTATGAGAAAAAATAGGTGAATTGATAACGACTCTATGAGAAACGAAGGGAAATTCATCCCTCTATACACTGAAAAGTACCGACCACTCCTGCGCAAGCGTGTATCGGAACGGGGGTTGACGACGGTGCACGGCGTCGCGACGCACACCGGCGCTCACTTGAATCCTCGCCGCGTGTTCGTCGGGCGATTCGCCTTGAAAGACCGTGTCCGAGAAAGGAGACGTGAGAAAAGAAGTTCGGCTGGCTCGCGGCACAAATACATCAACCGTAGATCGATGCTACGTGCAAAATCTATGCCATCTCGACGATCAATCGAGATACGTGATCTGCTACTCCTTTTTTTTTTGTTAAATCTCGATCGTCCGCACGTATCTCGTGCAAATACGTAATGCCGCGCGAGAGTGCCAAAGGGAGCGAGTGAAAAAAGGGACAGACGTGATCAGACGCAATCGGAAAACGACACGCGATGACCAGAGGAACATCGCGCGCGAAAATGCCTCGGTGGATTGTGTCCGAGTGTCCGGTGATTTAACGTCCTCGACAAGGCTATCTCCTCAAGTTTCGTACCCCGTTGGACACCCAACGAGCCGAGCTTATCGCCAAGGACGATCGAGAGCTATTGTTGAACGCAGATTATGATCTAGAACGATCAAATTGATTAGACACGGTGATCTTCTGCGACAGCGATCGGAGACGATCCGGATATACATGTTAAGGCCGTTCAAAGGACGCTCAAGGGTAGTGTCGACGTTTATGGAATTTTTGGCTGAACCTCGAGTGCCGATTGACTTTTACCGAATCATCGATGTACCAACGCCGTGAAGCGATCTACGACCACCGGTCGTCACGCTGTGAGGTGATAGTCGTCGCGTGCCGATCGGAAAACTTGGCGCCGACGCGTATACGGAAGATGGAAGTAAGAACTCGCGTTCGTGCGTCCGCGTGGAGCACTAAGGGTTGAAGTTTCGGAGTTCCGGTGGCCTACTTCGGCTCTGTCCTCCGGACGGAGGGCGCACGAGGTGAGGCTATCACTTGCTTACTTGTTGCCGTGCTTTTCGATAGGATATCCGATCATGTCGATTACGCAAAGAGGTTTTGGATCTGCACGTCGAGCTTTTATCGTCAGACACGAAGCGAGCGTCAGGCGTGATTATTTAATAGAAGAGATAGAGCTCAACTCAACTTCTTTAATTCTTTTTGATATAATTAAAAATACAAGCTTATTCTGGAATTTCCATCGTACGTTATTTTTAGATAAAAGATTTAGCAAAATTAAGCGTTTCTAATTCAAGCGTGAAATAAACTACTGTAATTTCCTTTCCTAGCTTTTTATCGTAAAGCTTTTTATCTCAATTTCATAGTCATCGCGCGCCCAAAGACAAGTCATCGAATATTATTTTATTGCGAGTACTTTTTTATATCTGTATATCTGTTTCAATATATGGATAAATATGAAAGTATTATTCAGTCGAGAATAATTAATGATTGAAATTAAATTATTTTTACTTTATTTTAACTAGATACATATTACACGCCATGTAATAGCATGAGAGATAATAAAACGTAAACATTTTTAACAATTGTTTAAAATGCACGCAAGAGAATATTTGTTAAATATATATTGCTAATATATATATTTTTTTTATTTAAATTATATATATATATATATATATATATAAAATAGTCCAAAGTTTAATACATCTTACGTCTAACCGATATTATTCGCAATTGAGTTTTCAGTTCGCCGCACATTTTGCAGTTCGTCGCGTTGTTACGCTTTATATTTTGTTCGTATTGCATGTCATGACATAAAATATAAATAGGCTACCGATATACTGTGACAGCGACGTTATAATCGGGTCCACCTTACAACGAAACATGCAATATAAGAAATACATTTCGTGCATTCGCAAAAACATTTTAGGTATTCCAAACAGCATCATACTTGCTAAGTATTTTTATTGAAACATCTAAAAAATTTAAAAAAATCTAAATACAATTCATAGAGTATACATATTTATACATTTCAATTTTTTACTTTTTTATTTAAATTTTTCTGCTATTTGAACCTTTATCATATTATCCAATTTAGTCCCGTTTGAAATCAATTAAACGTTTATTATATTTGCTCAATTTAATTTGTATCGCATCCAGTATCGATGCGAGAAGAGAATCTAGTGGTCGTATCTACCACTAGATGTATAGTGAAGGTGCGACGGATCACGGTTATAGATGGTTTTTAAACCATCTACAAGAGTTACAGTCTCACGCGATCGTAGCAACTGCCGATGTAAACGAACTTTAGATCGCTTTATTCTGCTCGGCCAGGCGGCATCGAGGTCGTGATTGACAGGTCGAGCGAGTTTCGAGCGGAAAAAAAGAGAATCTCTGACAAAATATGGCTGTCACGATTGTCCTGTGAAGAGGCGTATTATCGGATCTGTTTTTTTTACTTTCCCGCTTTTTTATTCGATGCGATGGATGGCCATGACCTACGATCGACTAATCGTTAGGTCCGACGAAACGCGATAGTAATCTACACAATGTGTTGTGCCATTCGATTGTAGTATATCGTTCGTCACTGCTTACGCGAAGTCATTTCAAGAACGAAGTATAATATGATTTATATCTACTAGCCTTTTATTAACACTATCCACATTACTGTCAGATTGAATGAAGTTTTATTTATATCGTAGATTTATTACGTAAGAGTAAAATAGTAATAAAAGTAAGCTTGAGTAAAATATATAGAATAGTAAAATAACAATCAAAAAAAATTTAAGTGAGACTCCCATTTTTTGGCAAATTATTAATACGTTAATTTAATAAACTTAATGCTTATAATTATATTTATAAATAATAAATATGTAATTATAAATTTGTGTTAGGTTCTTTTTCTTTTTTAGATATACATTTCTTAATTTATTTCATCAGCAAATATTAATGAAAGATACTTGTATGAGAGATTATTGGAGAATGATTGTGATTGTGAAGGATTCTTGTTAGCGTGTCCTTTGCTTGCCTTTGGTAGGACGGATCGATAAATATCGATTAGTTTATACTTTGTGGATACATAACCACCTACACCTACATATTTTCTTGTCATGGCCATTCGCATGATGAATATTCGTATCAGCCCGAGAAGAGCTTTTTAGATAATACAATGGAATTATTAATCAGTAACGTTGCATTCAATAAATAAAAAATAAAGCGAGAGTACATATTATATAAAAATTTAAAATATTATTTTATATCATTTTTATTTTTAAATGTTACTTGTTTTTTCCAGTATTTGTACATCATTCAAAACAGAAAGCTTTTAAGTTAATTTAATTTAACGTTAATAATAATTTTTTTCTAATTGAAAAAATTTGTCACATACACAATGAAAGTAATGAAACACGCAAGATAATTTAATATTTGCGCTTGTAATACTTTTCAACACCGTCTTTAATATTACTGAAAACTGTGTCAGCTGAAGTTTACTTGGTATTGCTGGAAACACGTAATACTTAAATCTTTTCCGAGGTCATGGGTCTTGAAATTACGAGAGATTAATGCGCGAAATGTGCAGATTTTTTTCTTTAAACTAAGATGATAACTTAATTTATCTTTAATTTACTTTAAGCGCGGCTCCATTTTTCTAGTAAAAATTCCGCGTCAAAATCATTTGATTGCATTTGACAGTAAAGCTGCTATGCAGTTTTATTGCAAGAACCATTATAATGTTTAAAATTTGATGAGTATATAAATCGCGAAATTTGTTAAGAACAAAGTGTTCACATTTCTGAAAATATTCGCATACATTTGCATATGAAAGTGATCCGATAAAATCTATTTCGGCTTGTCTCATTGATGACTCTATGTATTAAATATTCGAACGTGATGCTGAAAGTTTTCGTGCGTGTTATCTGATGCACGTATAATTTCTGGTAACGACATGGTATTTTATATGCAATATTTAGTCATTTAAAAAATAAAATATGTACATTTGTATAAAATATCAAGATCTAGATGTATGCACTAAAGTAGAATAAAATTGTATTTTGTATAAAAACAATTTTACAATGATTATTAAAGACTATTCCGGCATTTTATAAAGCGAGATTAAAACGATATGAATAAAATATCTACACGAACTTGCAAAATAATTTTAATTAAATTTTATCTTAAAATAGAAATTCAATTTCATTTGTGATTGCCAGAAATTCGAAAAATGTTAAATTTCTTGAAAACACGGGCAATTGTCAAGTTTTAAAATCTCCCATTTAAAATTGATCGTAAAATCAATATCTACAATGAGGAGGGAATGTTTTAAGTATCTTGTATATTCATCAGTAAATACCATTGCATTTATTGCGTGAATTATATACGCGGCATTCTCATCCCCGTTCCACCACTTAAACGCGAATCATGCACTATGAAAACCGTCGGTCGGTGCGAATTCATTTAAATGCCGTATTTAATTCCACATGCCGTATCATAACTATCCCGGCAATAAACATTACACCGGAGATTCACAGCCATGAACTCGGGTTTGATTCCAAATGAATATTTCTTACGGGCTGCAGCGCGTATTTGCAGAACGGCTGCCGATGTTGTTAACGCGTCGCATGAGTGAAATATTAAAACGTTATTTGCGCTTCAGTTTAATCAGACTTCGCACTGACAGGGTTGTTAATATTACATGTGACGGATAACTGGCGGTTTAAATATTTATCGATACATTGCGGTACAAAGTGCTCGTAGTACCGTGAGAAATACAGGGGTAAGTGTCTTTGCGCGGAAATATGTAAGCATGACGAGCAACCGTGAACTGCTAATTTTGTGAGTTTTATGTTTAACGTGGCGTACTTCCTATATGAGATGAAGGTGCTGAATAAATTCTTCGTGGTTCAACTTTAAGCCACAAAATTGCTTGTATTAAACAACAATGTAGTTAGTAATAGTATCTCGTCCTCTTTCTCTCTCTGTTAGATGTGTATTTAACTTATTATCGCTAAATAATAGACTATATACGTCATTTTGTTTTCATGAAATATATATGTATACATATATATATATATATATATATATTCTGTATTTTAAAGTAATGCATAAAATTATTAATCCATATTTATAGAAATCTTTAATTTCTTTAAACAATATAATTTTCATTTTTATTCAAGATAATTATACCACTTAAAAAGTACATAATCTTTTTGCAGAAACTTACTCATTTAGCCTGCAAAATGAGTGCATTAGAAAGAATTAGTTGAGTATTAATATATGAAGGAACATCAATATTTTTTCATAACTGATATGTTATTATAATACTGCTTTCCACTCCTCACATTTAAAAGAATCTTTTTATGACGTATATAGTATATGTATAAGTCTGAATATTTGATTACCAATAATCGCAATGTAAATGGAGAAAAGAGAAAAGAGAAAAAAGAATTAAAAATTATTATTCGAACTATCGCTTACTCTGAATATTAAGGTTTGAATATATATCTAACCAGTTATCTACACATATTTCCATGGACATTCAATGTTCGGTTCAATCGAATTTCGTTGAATTACTGGGATAACGGATGTGGAACGTAAGGGGGTACAAAAATCGATGTATACCGGTAAAAGTTTCCGTGTCTCGGCAACGGTTTCTGCGGCTCTCGAACGAGAGAAAACGAGGCATCCAACGAGAAGCAAGCGAGCCAATTTGACCGACGTCGAAACGTAATTACGAGCAACTTCTGCGGCTCCATCGGGCGCATCGCAACCGAATTCGTTTCGCGCGCACACATTTGCCGTGAGAAAAATCGAAGAAAATAATTACGATTACCTCGATATACCGGGCGTGCGGCGCGACGGGGCACATTTCGCGAACTGGCCGATAACGAGCACGAGAAGCGCCGGCACACGCCATCCTTCGTGAATCGCGTTTATAACCCAATACGGGAAAAGCGCGTCACGAATAGACTTGGGAATAACAAGTACGGGACGTGTTCTGAAAAGAAAGAATGTTATGAGTAGTCTC